GAAACCAATCCAGTTACAGGAGACCACCGTTCGGACTAACCAAAAAGCGAGATTTCGGGCGAAAATCATATAAAAGCTCAAAATCCCTAGGACAGGTAAAGGCTGGGACCGAGAACCGCAAACCTTGCTGATGGTGTCGAAGATTCTCTTCTGAAGAACAAAAGCACCAAAATACCGAGCGCAGGGATTACTGGCGGGCTTAACTTTCCCAACGACTACTTTCTAAGTTAAATTTATAGTACAGTAATTTTTATTTACAATTTAAAACTATAAGAGTATTATAGAATCATTTTAAATGATTCTTGAAAAAGCCGATTTAATAATTCGTTCAGAAACTTACATTCAAAACATTTAATTTATTACATACACTTTTTTAACATTAAAATCTTACATATTTATTATTCAGTTGAGAATTCAGAAAAAACTGTACAAAATAAATCGAACAAATGTCGATAAAATTCACAAATTTCTAATTTGTTTCAATATAATTATTTTGGTTTGTAAGGTCCAATAATCTTGCGAAGTTCATCCAATTCGGGAATTCGTTCCCATTTTTGGTTGATCGTAATCAGCTGGAAAATATATGTTTAATTAAAATTTATATTTAAATTTCATTCAAAATTTATTTTTCGATAGTTTTAAAAAGCCATTTTGTTCATAATATCTGTTGAATAATAATACAATTTTCACATTTTTAAATCAAGTCTGTCTACACTTTTTCATTCGTATTAATTTTTCAACAGGAAAACTTTGTTGGTCTTACACGCTTCTAATTATCGTGTTAATCTAATTTATAATTTAAAAGAGGTATTGAAAAAAATGTCTTTTTCCACAGAGAATTGATATGAAATATATATTTAAAGTAGCTATTACACAGGAAACGTCGAAAGAAAAATGCAGAACTGTTAACTTTTCGATTAATTTCAACATTTAAATAATTAAGAGTCCGAGTCAACCGTTCTATTATAAAACCGAAATAAAGTTATTTCTATAACAGGACTTTTCTAAATAAACTGCTTCTGATAGAGTTAATGAATCGAAGTTTTTAATACAAATAAAAATCCATATTAAAATCCTACCTTCTGTGGTTTCTCGAGATCCGCCAATTCCCATCTCGGATGGCCTCCTTTTACAAATCTGTCATTTTATATTACAATAAATACGTTATTTAATTTATAATTCTATACATTTCTAATTATGAATGTCAAAAGTAAATATAAATTAAGACATAAGAATAAAAAATATATATATTTAACGTAATAAACATTTTGTATATTAAAAGACAAACGTTCAATTGATTTAATGTAAAAATAAAATATGTTTAAAGCAATTTCACATTTTATGAAACGTCACATACCTTGCATCTACGTTTTAAAATAAATGATATAAAACCGAAGAGACCATTCCAGTCGTAGCGGCTGCTGTAATACAAAGTAATGGAACAAGCTGTAAAAAATCAAAGTGATTTACGTTATTTTTTATTTAAATTAAGTAATTTGTGATAAATATTTCTTTAATAAATCATATAGAAATCCCCGAAAATACACAGCATTAACGAGTTACTACGATTCGATTTAAAATTTAATTGTTTATTACCAGTTTGTATTATAAAAATAAAAAATATTAACAGTATTGCACCTTACTTTTTATTCGCTGATAGATAGAGTTAGAACCATATTATTAAACAATTAAATAATACTGTAGAACCCTGATTATCTAAGATAATGTGGACTAAAGACAGCCAGGGCCAATTCAGATAAAAAATTACAAATATAAAAGATTTATATGGTAAATCACTTTTTATACCATAGTAAATATAATCATGCATATGAATATCAATTTTATGCCATTTATTACACATATAATGCCTAGAATAGTTTTAAGAATAAAAATATGTATTATTGTAGTACATTTTAATATGAATGGTTTCTCTAATTTAACATTAAAGTTAAATAATACAAGGTTAAAGTTATACAAATAATCCTCTGGCGATTCTGTAAACATATCTCATTGAATAATGTGTTACGCATTATTGTTTTTCACAAATTTTCATTCAGTCTATTGTAGATCATAGTTTATCGATTTAGGTCATGGCTGCCCCCGCTCTTTTAAATAAATTTCTGAGAGGCCAGATGAAATGAAATATTTAATTAATTACAACAAAATAGAGAATTTATTTAGACTAGTGCTTAAATTTCACATAACTGGAAAAAAAAAAAACAGATTTTTAAGCAAATTTAAAAATTTCTACCCATAACATCCTTCAAAATTAATTTTAAAAAAAGAATAATATACCGTAAAAATATAAAATAATATATATTGTCAATTTAAATGTAAATAATAGAGCCCTATATAAACAGAGTATGGCCACTCTAACGCGTGGATGCCATCTTGAGGCCAAAGTTGCAGTGTCATGGCACTGTTTAGCATTTAAATGAGCAATGTTTAATAATTTAAATGAGCAGAAATCAGATTCAGAAAGAATTATATTAAGTTAAACATTTTTAGAAATAATTTTTAATTATGTTCGGAATAATTGTAGTTTATAAGTGATGGACAAAATATATAACAATAACAGGGCTAGATGCAAAAAAGTGAAAATATTAAAAAATTATATTTTGTCAACAATACAGTACATACAGAATACAGGACAATACAGAAAATGTTAACATTTACGTAATAATAATAAACAATGAAACTGTTGACTTTAGTTTATTAACATTTCTGTAATCTTGATGAAATAGTTATATAGTTTATATAAGTCTTTTTCATTCTAAATTCAAGGAGAGAGCCGCACTGGAATATCCGTTTAATATCAAGTGAATCACACAAATTTGCTAAACCTTGACGGTTCTGTAATAGGTGAAAAATCGACAGACTCAGAATTACACCAGGTGCATTGAGTATTCGAAACTTAATATAACTGTTTTCGACAAAGATAGAATATTTATTAATATGTAATTGAGCTATCTTTTCACGTTAAAATTAATTGATTTAGTCATATACGGTTATGAAGATGGAAAATGGATTAATATTTAGTATTTCTTCAAGGAGTATTAGATAAAATTTGAAACAAGTCTTTGTTTAGTAATATAAATTAAACGATACTTTCGTTTAATTTATATTACTAAAGTAAGTAATATAAAGTAAGTAAAATAAAAGTAAGTACAGTAATAGCCCGACTTACGCTACCCTGACATACGCGAACCTCCCCAACTTACGCTACCCTGACTTAGGCGGTTAAACTCAGTAGATTTTCACTTAATAACGATTTGTTAAATATAAATATAAGGAAAAATTCGCCGCTGAACCCATGCCGCTGCGGCCGGGTCAGTTGCGCTCCACCCTTATGCTTGCGTTGCAGCGTGCATTCTGCCTTCGCACCACTGGCAGCCTTTTTTTTTTCCAACTCAAACGCTCCGCCATCAGGCTTGCGTTGCAGCGTGCAGATTGAGTTGGAATCACCGTTCGCCTTTTTCTTTGTTTTTTCGCTTTTCCATCAGGCTTGCGTTGCGGCAATGAAGTCCTGCGTTCGCGCTTCCACTCGCCTTTCTTTTTTTTCCTCTTTAAAATATCATTCATCTTGTCAGTTACGTCCACACACAGCTAATTTAGATAATTTCGAACATCGCATTCTAAAATAACTATCGGGTTTCTGTAAATCAATTGATTTATATCATCATCCGTAGTGCCCGTTTTAATGTATCGCCATCTATTGGCAGGAAATTTAACGAACCGATAAAACTAAATATAATTTTTATAAAAAGAATATAACTTTAAAATATATATATTATATTCACTTAATAACGTTTTGTTAAATCACTTTATTAAATTAAAAACATAAATCCGATATTTAAACGAAATATAAATTTTTATTTTGATTTTAAAATTAATGCAGGTAGTGCATGGTGACTTTTCTTCATAATTAAAGATGAGGGACGCAAAGAGCTTTTTTTCGTCTTTCCTCGGCATCTTCTGTCTTCACCCATGTGGGTACAGCGGTACAGAGAAAGCCCTCTCTTCCTCTCGTACATTCCTGAAGTGTACGAGGTCTGTTGAAAAAATACGCGGACTGTCTGAATTGAGCGGCTCCAGTTTGTTCAGCTTGGGGAATCAGCTTGGTGTATCTAGATTTGTACAGATCGTTTGGTGATAAAGCCGTTTCCCGATTACAGATATCTTTACAGTCGACCCTCCCATAACACGGGTTCCTATAGTTCGGATTCCTATATGACGGCAAAAAATTGTGACGGTATCCGTGAAAACATGATAAAAAAAACTCCTATAATTCGGTAAAACGTCATCGGGCATTCGAACTACTTTCCGCCGTCCAGCGCCACGCTACGGAGAGTTTAGGCGGGTATATTGAGTTTACTATCGTCTGTACAGTATTATATATAAATTAGCTACGAATCTACGGTGGAAGAGAGGTCTTTCTTAGTCTCCATGGTGCGAACAGAATTAAAGAACGACCGTTTTAGCGCATTGTACGCTTATTTATGACTGTACGTTGACAATTACTGCGATTAGTTGCATTTTTTCTTTTATGTTTGTCGGGACATTTGTTGCCTTCACACAATTTTTATTCATTTGTAATAATATTTAATTTCAAGTTTTGTGTCTAAATATTTTAATTCTAAATGCTGTTGGAATGTACAGCGCATCTGAAGAAAACCATTTAATTAACGTGGTGAAAATGTTTGTCTGGAATCAAATCGTTCTGTGCTGGATTGCGTGGTGTTTATTTGGTTGGTTTTAATAGAGATAAAAGGCTGTTTTAACATACTATTTATGATGTAAAAAAAGAGTTACTGATAATTCAGTTATTCTATGTCAAGTGAACAATTAACAAAGATACTACCATGTAGCAGACATAGGAGAGCATTTGACAGAATCCTGCATTCATGGTTTTTGCATACATTAAACAAAATATATCCAAAACTTATTACGTTTATAGAAAACAATGCAACATCAGACAACAACACTGCATCTCAGATTCCATGACACATACATTAAAACAAATCAAAAAAGGCAAAGCATTTTCCAACAAGATTTCCTAAGTATACTCTTGGATACANTAAAATATTTATTTAGATCCTACAGTTTGCTTGGGAGCGGGGGAGGATTTCGAAGAATGTGGCTCACAATGTCCTCTTACATGCGATAATTATGAAAATCCACCAAACTGTAGTTCAATTTGCAAATCAGGTTGTTTCTGCAGAAAAGGTTTAGTTAGAAATGATGAACAGGAATGTGTATTACCTACTTCTTGCAACAAGATTGAAAGTAAGTAACTTTTAATTTAATTTTTTGTTTGTACACAGCAACCCGACACGTCGGCGATTGCCGGGGGATGCATCCCGAAAGGTTTTCTATGGGAAGCTGGTCCTATTTATGTATTGCAAACGAAAAGAAAACCCACGACCTACCTGTGTTTAATGGTTTTCTCCACTAGGTCACTTGTGAACTGACTATTCATGAATTATAAATAAAGCTAATATAACTTTTTCCCACATTTTCGTTATAGATCCGACAGTTTGTTCGACGGGAGAAGTTTTGGATGAATGTGGTTGTGAATCAAAATGTACTGGAATACAAGGTCAATATGTCCGCGAATGTCCTCCACGGTGTACTATATCCTGCGCCTGCAAGAAAGGTTTGGCTCGACACCCCATAGATGGCACTTGCATTAGGAAGAGAAGTTGTCCAAATGTTCATCAAACGTTGAAAAATGCAATTTAGTCATAATTTATTTGTAAAATTTCTTAATTATATCAAAGTCTAAATAAATTATTTAAAGAAATTTTCAATTATTGAGAATTTATAAGGAATGCAAAAATAAATAAAATGCAAATTCAGATATCCAAATTATTAACATCTCATATAATTTATTTGAAAAATTAAAAAAGTCTCGAAGTATTATATTTCATGTCTGCGAGCTGGCGTGAACGAAAAATGGTAACTAGAGTACCTAGATTATCAGAGTAGAGCAGACTCTAGATGCTTATTAGCTACTTACTTTTATTTTAATAAGAAAGAAATTATTCATAAATAGTTAAGGTATTTTTAAGCAATATAACAACAAGCTCAATTTTGGCTGTTGTGGATTAAACAGAGCTAATTTCAATAAAGTAAGCGAGGCCAGTAAAAGATAATTGGAAATATACTGTATACAAGTTTGATAATATTAATGAAGCGTGCAATGTCATTTTTCTCTAAATAAGTTTTATTGAAGGAATAGCCACTAATTGACCCGAGGCACGTGGTATTCTACATGATAGTCTTTGCTCTTATTTGTCAGCAGGGGTGCAACTTGAAAGTAGGAAAGAGTAACGGAAAATAGTACAGCCGTCGCTGGCACTGGACGTCAAGATCAAACCACCTTTATTGGCTTAAGATGCTTCCATAAGTTGCTCCTTTGTATTTCCAATTAATTTACATACATTTTTGATACCTTTTCACTAACCGGGATAAAATTACAAACAGGCTGGGACAAGTCGTACAAAAACCTTTGTCAAATTTTTTTTAATTTAAATTTTAAAAATGTATTAATTTTTACAAATATATTTTCGAACAAAATTTAAACGTCATTATACGAATGGTTATTAATTTTCGAATTAGGAAGGTTCGAGTTCGAAACCGTTTTAATGTAAGTAGCAAATAATTTATTTTATAATAAATAAATTAAACCATATATTAAATAAAATAACAATCATAATCAATGTATTTATTATTATTTTATTTAAATACTGTAACTTTTAAGATAAATAAATTAATGGAATAAAAATTTTCCATTTATCAATTATATACTGTATTTAAATCTTTTCTTCGAAGAAATGTCTAACACTAAAAAATCGAATAATGGAAACAAATTAGTAAATCCAGAGATTAAAATTAACATGAAATGAATTGTCATTTTAAAAATACTGTAAATATTAAGAGGTGCCATGGTATAAATTCGAATTGTGGGTGGCATGTGGATGGAATTCATTTTGAGTGTAATTCAAATCTTATGACCCCTTGATAGAAATGAATACAACGATTAAATAAATTATAACTGCTTAATAAAGTAAAACAACAAATTAAAACAACTATATGATGTCAACATGTGGCTTTGATAAACTATCTTTCCATGAAAGTTGAATTGGCATTCCTGTTCCTAAGAGATGAGCATCAATTGGTAAACTAAAAAGACACCTTTAACCCATTCCAACTGTTTTTTACTAATATCTTTCTTCACTATTTTCCCATTGATGAGGAAACTAGAGATGAGCCCATTAGGACCTGTATATTCTTTGGAGTAAACCTTTCTATTGAATATGAAATGGGGCTGATGAACATTAATAAATGTTGGCTTTTTGAAACAAACAGCGATATCTTCATTTACAAAGATGGTGCTAAGAAGTTTCGTGACTTATTAAGATAAAATTTTCTTTATTGATATTTATTTTAATCATTTACTTCATGATTTAACACATGCAAAAGTTATCTATAACGTGCCACATAAATCTAAATTTTCACGTTGTTCGATCTTTAAAAACGTTCTAATTTTAATTTTGAAATATTGTTCTTAACGGATATTTTTCTGGATACATTGATATTAAATCAACGAAAATCCTTAAATTTAAATTATTTTACTTCGTTTTTCCTAATTTAACAATTGAAATTCTTTCTCTGTAATTTAACTTGCAAAACGAGTTTATAGTGTTCGTTTTCATTTTAAATTTATAAATTCTCCAATATTTCTTTTTAAATAAAAATAATTCCTAAATTTAGTAATAAACAGATATAAAAATAAAAATACATAACTTATTTTTTACAAGAAACTTGGTACCAAGCTCAAAATTCAATAAATAAATTGCTAAGGAAGCCAATTATTTGAAAAGTCATCTATAAGTTCTTCATGAAGAGCTGATGATGGAACAAACGGGTCAAATGAAATTATTGGTTCCCTTAACTTGCAGTTTATTTATTAAACTTGTGTTTTATATTTAAAAAATACAACGAGCAATAAAAATATTTGAAAAAATATGAGAAATGCGCTGTATGTCGCATACAAGCCCACCGGTGGTCGAGCGGATAAAACCACTGAACACTGGTAATTGGTCGTAGGTTCGCACTCACTTAGAGTTTTCCGGGTTTACTTCATGCTCGACGCTTTTTTACTTTTCCGGCTATTCTGTCTTTAATTACAAATGAATTAAATTTGAATCGCAAGATTTGTGCACGATACAAAACAAGTTAAATAAAGGCGATGAAGATTACTATTTATTTATTTTATCATATAACATTTTTGAAACTAAATAAAAGTTTCAAAAATGTTTATAGAAGTTTTATTTTATCGGAAATTACGGCGAAATTCACTTATAATTTTATAATAAAGTATTTTTAGAAGGTAACGACTTTGACCACCAGTAGCGGAAGAACAATAGTCTGTTTTGGCAAATTTTATTCTGCAATTACTTTGAATTTTTCTCGCTATATAAAAGGTATTAATTTTCAATATTTGATAAATTAACATTGATTAGAAATAAAGAAATTATTTTAAATCTTAATCCAATTTAGAAATATGATTTTGTCGAGAGTAGCGAACACCAGTTAGAGAAGCGATGAGATTGTAATGGCGGAGTTTTATTTAAATCATTCGATCGTCAGTTCGTTTACTTTAAATGCCAACTTATTTAAAACACAGTTTAAATGTTTTTTGATTAAAATTTCTTACAGTAAGTCAATATTCAAAATCAGATCATTTGCATAATGACATTACTACAGATGCGCTGTTATATCCATACTAACGGGTAAAGCCATAAGCACCTTCGACCTAAAAGTCCATTGTAATACTCACGAAAAAATCAATTCATAACTCCAAATCTCTCTAAAGGAAAGATGAAAGACTACCTGGCTCAAAGTGGAAGAACTCAGATGAACAAGTTTACCTAAGAAAAATATGTACTGTACTAGTTAGGCAGGTGCAACAGGTGTAACTGCACATGGCCCACCTGTAAGGGGGCCAAAAAGTATGAATTTGTTTTATTATTTTCCCAAACCTAATTAATTAAGGGGCCTAAATGCAAATTCTTGCACAGGGCACAGGAATGAATTGCTACGGCACTGTACAGTACACTCACAAATGAATTGCATACCCATAAAAATGGCAAAAGGAGAAAAGTTTATATTAACTTTACTTGCTTCAATTTTACAATTGGGGCCATTCTTTTGTCTAAAAACGAGTATTTTGAAATCATAAACCACACTATCCGTAGTACGGGCGCCGCCATCTTTCTTTCACCGTCGTTCCTAAATGCCTACAAATAGTAGCTCACTCCCGTAGTAGCAAAGACACAGAGCGAACAGAATACAAATTTTAACAGTGTTTTGATTCTTAATATACTGTAGGCTTCAAAAACTACTAAATGGACCAGACATCCCTCGACTTCTATCAATAAATTTATAAATCTATCTTCTCGTCATGGATTACAAGTGTCAGTTTGAAATCCATCACTTTTTTGTCTCTTCTCGCCCAGTGAACATCAAGAAGGCATTCTTTTAGGTTCATACATAGTAGGTTCGATCAATGAAGTAGCCGGTTGATGAGAGACGAGACTCGACATATCGGAGACAAACCATCTTAAAAAATTCCAGGGGGCTTTTCGATCACCCGAATTAGGTTGCAAGGCAGTGCGAAAAGGAGAAAAAACAATAATAATACAACAAATATTTCTTAATTTATATGATAACGTTTCAAATTATATTGGGATTAAAGCTTCAAACATACAGTATTTGAAATAAAATGATTTTATTTACTGATTTAAATAAAAACACCATAAGTATTCTGTCAAGATATAATATGTTTTAACTTGATTACAGTTATTAAAACGAGTGTAAAGAAATTGAAGAGTCTTTTGGTTTCAAAATGTACAAGTTTTCTGAATGGAATGATACTGGAAGGAACGATGACTCTAGCATTGTTAATCCTAAGATGCAACCATATAATATTTTGTTTTTATTTGTTAGCATTGCTCTTGGAGGTGAGAACTTACTTTCATTATTTTCAAAATTTAAGATTTTTATGTAACTTAAATATAAATTTAATTATGACAGATAAGCATATTTTTGATATTACCAAAGTTTTTTTAATTATAATCATAATCAACGTTGAATAATAATAAACTGTAAATTTCTGGTTTCCGGTTCAGTTTATATTATTATAAATAAATGTCAATAAAATACAATGATATCTCGGTTTTCGTCGGTTTTTTCGGACGGATTATCGACGAAAACCGAGATATCATTGTATTATAAAATATAGGTTTCAACAAGTGTCAGATTACCGTAAGATTTCAGAAATATTTCAGTACATTCCACGCGCGATGATATGGCCTCTCTAGTTATTTAAGCCGTATAACGACGTTATATTAGTTAAAAGTTTCGCTTGTTTTCGTAATCATTTCGATTTTAAATACTGTAGATAGATATGTATATAAAAAAAAAACGATAAGTAACCTCTAACATGTTTTGTTTCCCTCGAATAAAGCTATCGGTTGTTATTTTTCGAGTCTTAATTCTAAATAACTAATTGTAATAACCTAAAATTATTTATTTTATTATATGGTATTTATTTATTCGATATTATCTCATTACAAATTACGAAGGAATGGATAACTTTTTCATGGAATTAGTAAAAGTATTAACTTTTCAATATATTTTCAGCTCTAGTGCGATTTNCAGACTTTACATTTATAAACCATTAGGCATTTTATACTTTATAATATTAAACTAATGGAATATATATTTATACAGAAAAGTAGGTCGAGCATGCATTAGTTGATTAATAAATATATATTTATACAGAAAAGTAGGTCGAGCATGCATTAGTTGATTAATACCAATCAATAGCAACTTTATTTCAATGTTACTTTCCAGGCTGATATATATACAGTTCCCTTGTTACATAACAAGGGAAAGTGTTGGAATCGTGTCAAATTTGATCATCCGGGTTTTGTAAATCTCCACATTTTGAGACCTCGTGAACCCAAAAAAAGAGAAAAAATAGCCTAAACCTTTGTATAATAGTCGAATCGGGAGTAGAAATTAATGTTTAAACCAAATTATATATGTATCCGATATTATTATAATAGTCTATGCCTTATAATACGTTTAAAATGGCGTTCGAATAAGCCACAATGATGTCAAACAGGAGCAAAAATAGTTCATAATTTCTAATAAAATGAATTATTATTGCACTTTGTTGAAAACTAGATTAAAATGGAAAATATTTTTCAGTATCTAAAATGAAATTATACAGTAATTTCAGTTGTTAGATCATCAATTTATGTATATTTTACATCAAATATATTCAAAGATCAGTTTACTGTATTACAAATTATATGCAGAGTTTCAATTAAGAAATAATAAATGTTACTACTATTGTGTTCAGACTGAATAATGAATACCAAACGGTCGATTGCTGCATTTTTTTGCTCCTACAATCTGAAAATCTATGGTTTATTTTAGTAAAATTCTGTGTTTGTATCAAATCAAAATATAAGTGAAAAAATAAATCGAAATTTATCTTTATTGTATTAAAATAATTTTAAGAAATAAGGGTGAATTTCGGGACATTCTTCTTTCGGTATACATAAACCATTTACAGGATGTCGAGCCATATTTTCCTCACAAGAGCAAGCTTTGGTGCAATTATTCGGACAGTGAAGCGTATAATCTTCCAAAAAACCAGTGCATTTATTTTCACATCCGCAATTGTGTAGGACTTCTCTTTCTTTACATACTGTAAAATTAATAAAATTATTAAAATATTTATATACTTTTTGTTGATGGTTTTATTCATACTCACTTTTGCTACAGTGTTTAGGTAAGACGCAATCTCCATCCATATCTCTTACGAGTCCTTTCTTGCAGAAGCACCCAGATTTGCAAACTGCGGTGCACGTGGGAGGAGATTTGTAATTTTCGCATGTTAATGGGCAATCCGTTCCACAGAATTGATATTCTTCTCCCGGACCTATACACACTGGGGGATCTGTTTAACAAAAATATTTTATTCGAATCATTTTGAAGTTTTAATTCAATTAAAAAAAACGCAATATAAATTAGTTACTCGTGCATTCCGCAGGATAGATGCAGGATTGATTTTCCGAATTTGAATCTCTAACAAGATCTTCTCGACAAAAGCATCCTTCGACGCAATTTAATGGACATTTCATTGTTTTGCCATAGTTTTGGCATGTCGGTGGACAAGCGGATCCACATAATTGATAATATTCATTGGGTTTACTGCAGTTAAATCCTGGTCCAGTTTCTGTCCAGTAAAATTACTTTAGATAATTTCGAAAAAAAATAAAACTTTCATAATAAAAAAAATGTATCATGTTCTTTTATAAGAGATTTCTTACTTTTAGGGCATTCCTCTTTAGGGATACAATTCCAGTTAAAATCCCTGACAAATCCTTTCTTACAAAAGCATCCTTGTTGACAATATTTTCTGCGACACCAATACATAGAGGGATCGTTGATATTTTCACAGGTGAGTTGACAATAGTCAGCTTTGCCACATTCGCTATATTCTTCTCCTTGTCTATTACACACGGTTGGATCTAGCAGAATGTAAGATGAAGAATTGGAAAGTTATTTACAAAGAAAATATGCCAATTTTTAACTTAAAAATAAAATATTGTGTAATTGATCTTGTGAATGTCTTCATCCTATTCTACTCTATGCAACATAAAAACTTGCAATTCTAGTTGAATGTTAATATCGTATCTTTTTAGGAATTATTTGAACTCATGATATAGAACAGTAGCCTATATCTGAAAACTATAATCGATGGACCAGTGTCTATCAATAACTTTTTACAGTGCCAGCCTGTAAAAAGTTTTCAGAGGAAAACTCTATAATATTGATAATCATGCTTTACTACAGCATTTGTATATACGCACCTACATATAAATATACTATAATATTGAATTCTCGGACCTTCTGGTTAATAATACAATAATGTGTCAAAAATATTCCCGATCTACACATCAGTTAGTTTGAGAAACACTGATATAGAATTTAAGAAATTCGATTATATATAGATAAAATTCTTACTTGTACATTGTGTTGGCTTGATACAGTCTCCATTCGAATCCCTAACAAACCCTTTTTTGCATTGGCAACCGCTTTCGCATTGCCACCAATCACATATCCTTTTGGTGCCATAGTTTTCGCATGTATCGGGACATACTTCCTTACAAGTCGAATATTCTTCATTAAGACCGCAAACTTCTCTTCCTGTAATAGATTAGTATGTAAAACCATCTATCTCTATGCAAATCTCAAACATATTACTCACTGTAAGTTTCACAGAGAGATTGTAATGGGAACAAGATACAAAACGAAAGAGCGATAATCATGATCTCTTACAAATACTAACACAATCTAACAAATACATGTTATATGTTATATATAATAGCATTCATGTGCAACGTCCGGAAAGAGGTTGATGGCCAATATTGTTAAATTTACATTTGCAAATTAATGACGTCCTGAAAATCTATTTTTAAAGGAAGTATTTCCTTTGTTACATTAATCATCAGTTTAAAAGTCTATGTAATGTAGAGCAAATCGAATAAATAAAATTTATATAATTTTCGATAACTTCTCTGAGATGATGAATATAAAATATCATTTGAAATCTTAATTTCTTATATAAACGAAGTCTGAAAATTGATATATAAATTTCAATCTTTTATCCTGTTATATAGGGTAACTCACGGAAAAGTAGCCCGCCTGTAGTAGACATAAAGACATGAAGAATGAGCAAGTGGATAGTTTGTCTAAATGGATGATGTCAGACGGATGATCGGTAGATGGGTGGAAGGGGATTCACCTCTTCCAATTCAGAGCGAGGCACCTGCTGGATATAGGAGGCGGGCTACTTTTCCGTGGGCCACCATGTACTTCAACACGTAATTATGCAATATAATACAGTCGAACTTCTAACAACTTTGGAGATTATTTGGTGGTGTATGCATACAAAAGAACCTTCATCCGATGGCTATTTTATATGTTCTCGTTAGTGGCCGTCGTTAAGCAGTTTCATTACAATATCTATTAAAACTTTTACTAAATTTATAAACTTTGAATGGAATGTAAAATTGATTACTTCAAAGTTATAATTTTGCTTCTTTAAAGTAATAAAATTTTACTTTAATATCCAGAAGTTATCCTGAAGACATTAAATTTCTATAAATTGGATCTTTACAAAATCTCAACATATTCTGGATTTATTGAAATCCTAGATTTGCATAATTAAGTATGATTTTATTAATAACAAATATTGCAAACACAGAAATAAAATGACGATTATTTGAATTTTTAGGCAAAGACAACATGATTTTAACTATTTAGTCGTTAAAATCTATAGACTACATTGATTAATTAATAAAACTATTCGAATAGTAAATTCATATATAAGAGTATTGTATATTGGATTGGATTGATGGAATAAGGTAGCGCAACACTTAGGACATCTCCCGCAAAATCTGTATGAACTGGTTCCTATTCTTAAATAGGTGTTAGATATATGAAGAAAACGCACTTGGCCAGCCACAAACTCTAGACCAACTTTTAGTATTGAGTGGTTTTGTTCATTGGCCACTGGCGAAAGTAATTATATGTACTGTATATACTATATTTAAAGCTAGAGACAATCATAAAAAATCAATGTTATAATTTCTACACGATTCTTGAGTTTTAGTTTAGAGAATTCGAACTGTCATGTAAATTGGAATTTTAGATAACAATGATTAAAAATGATGCTGGTAATTAATCATTTTGAATTTTTATTTTTGTTATGACACGAATCTACTTTTTAATAATTTAAATAACAAATTTTTTATTTAGCAATTCATCCGAGTAGTATTTATTATAAACGTGGACGGATCTCGTGCCACCAATTCTCGCACCGCTAATAAATACTAAACATTGGATCTACCGCGACAGAAACATTTCTATAATGAAAGAAGTTACATTACTATTGTGTATCTTCTCAATCCAAGTTTATAGTAATAAAACGGACGGTAAAGAGTATTTTTATACATCAATTATTTAAATTTTATACGTTTAAGACGTGTAATTATTGATGATTTTATAGTTGAGGATTTACGTAAAGTTCCTAAATGTCCCTATCCAAAAGAAAGTTACACTTTTTGTGGATGGTCCTGTCCAGACACCTGCGAGAATTATGGAACGAAAAGAAAATGCAAATCAAATTGCGTAAAGGGATGTGTATGTTACGATGGCTACGTTAGAGATTCAAGAAATTTCCTCAATCCTCGTTGCATATTGCCTGAAGAATGCACAGGTAAAACTTAAATTAAGAGTTATATAATGTTTTAATTTTGTTAAATCGTTTATTTCTTTTGTAGATCCTCCTGTATGCGATAGACCAGGAGAAGAATATAGCGACTGTGGAAGTAAGGATTCTTGTCAACTCACCTGTAACAATCTGGATGATCCACCTTCGTATTGGTGCGACATTTTCTGTCGAAAAGGTTGTTTTTGTAAAAGTGGTTATGCTAGAAATGATAATTGGAATTGTATTCCTGTTGAAAAATGTCCTAAAAGTAAGCTTTATTTAAAAATTTATTACTTGTAATATTAAGTACTAAAATGCAACCTACTTGGATATTTTAATTTTTTTTATATTTTTAATAGAAATTGGGCCAGGTTATAACTGCAGCCAACCCAACGAATATTATAATTCTTGTGGATCGGCATGTCCACCTACTTGTGAAAATTATGGTAAAAATTTAAACTGTCCTAAAGTGTGTGTACAAGGATGTTTCTGCAAAGAAGGTTATGTGCGAGATTTTCGAAATTTATGTATCAAACCTGTTTATTGCAGCAGTAAGTTTTATAATTATTTTTCAGATTATTATCTAAAGACTTATCTATTAATAATAATAATAAAATATTTATTTAGATCCTACAGTTTGCTTGGGAGCGGGGGAGGATTTCGAAGAATGTGGCTCACAATGTCCTCTTACATGCGATAATTATGAAAATCCACCAAACTGTAGTTCAATTTGCAAATCAGGTTGTTTCTGCAGAAAAGGTTTAGTTAGAAATGATGAACAGGAATGTGTATTACCTACTTCTTGCAACAAGATTGAAAGTAAGTAACTTTTAATTTAATTTTTTGTTTGTACACAGCAACCCGACACGTCGGCGATTGCCGGGGGATGCATCCCGAAAGGTTTTCTATGGGAAGCTGGTCCTATTTATGTATTGCAAACGAAAAGAAAACCCACGACCTACCTGTGTTTAATGGTTTTCTCCACTAGGTCACTTGTGAACTGACTATTCATGAATTATAAATAAAGCTAATATAACTTTTTCCCACATTTTCGTTATAGATCCGACAGTTTGTTCGACGGGAGAAGTTTTGGATGAATGTGGTTGTGAATCAAAATGTACTGGAATACAAGGTCAATATGTCCGCGAATGTCCTCCACGGTGTACTATATCCTGCGCCTGCAAGAAAGGTTTGGCTCGACACCCCATAGATGGCACTTGCATTAGGAAGAGAAGTTGTCCAAATGTTCATCAAACGTTGAAAAATGCAATTTAGTCATAATTTATTTGTAAAATTTCTTAATTATATCAAAGTCTAAATAAATTATTTAAAGAAATTTTCAATTATTGAGAATTTATAAGGAATGCAAAAATAAATAAAATGCAAATTCAGATATCCAAATTATTAACATCTCATATAATTTATTTGAAAAATTAAAAAAGTCTCGAAGTATTATATTTCATGTCTGCGAGCTGGCGTGAACGAAAAATGGTAACTAGAGTACCTAGATTATCAGAGTAGAGCAGACTCTAGATGCTTATTAGCTACTTACTTTTATTTTAATAAGAAAGAAATTATTCATAAATAGTTAAGGTATTTTTAAGCAATATAACAACAAGCTCAATTTTGGCTGTTGTGGATTAAACAGAGCTAATTTCAATAAAGTAAGCGAGGCCAGTAAAAGATAATTGGAAATATACTGTATACAAGTTTGATAATATTAATGAAGCGTGCAATGTCATTTTTCTCTAAATAAGTTTTATTGAAGGAATAGCCACTAATTGACCCGAGGCACGTGGTATTCTACATGATAGTCTTTGCTCTTATTTGTCAGCAGGGGTGCAACTTGAAAGTAGGAAAGAGTAACGGAAAATAGTACAGCCGTCGCTGGCACTGGACGTCAAGATCAAACCACCTTTATTGGCTTAAGATGCTTCCATAAGTTGCTCCTTTGTATTTCCAATTAATTTACATACATTTTTGATACCTTTTCACTAACCGGGATAAAATTACAAACAGGCTGGGACAAGTCGTACAAAAACCTTTGTCAAATTTTTTTTAATTTAAATTTTAAAAATGTATTAATTTTTACAAATATATTTTCGAACAAAATTTAAACGTCATTATACGAATGGTTATTAATTTTCGAATTAGGAAGGTTCGAGTTCGAAACCGTTTTAATGTAAGTAGCAAATAATTTATTTTATAATAAATAAATTAAACCATATATTAAATAAAATAACAATCATAATCAATGTATTTATTATTATTTTATTTAAATACTGTAACTTTTAAGATAAATAAATTAATGGAATAAAAATTTTCCATTTATCAATTATATACTGTATTTAAATCTTTTCTTCGAAGAAATGTCTAACACTAAAAAATCGAATAATGGAAACAAATTAGTAAATCCAGAGATTAAAATTAACATGAAATGAATTGTCATTTTAAAAATACTGTAAATATTAAGAGGTGCCATGGTATAAATTCGAATTGTGGGTGGCATGTGGATGGAATTCATTTTGAGTGTAATTCAAATCTTATGACCCCTTGATAGAAATGAATACAACGATTAAATAAATTATAACTGCTTAATAAAGTAAAACAACAAATTAAAACAACTATATGATGTCAACATGTGGCTTTGATAAACTATCTTTCCATGAAAGTTGAATTGGCATTCCTGTTCCTAAGAGATGAGCATCAATTGGTAAACTAAAAAGACACCTTTAACCCATTCCAACTGTTTTTTACTAATATCTTTCTTCACTATTTTCCCATTGATGAGGAAACTAGAGATGAGCCCATTAGGACCTGTATATTCTTTGGAGTAAACCTTTCTATTGAATATGAAATGGGGCTGATGAACATTAATAAATGTTGGCTTTTTGAAACAAACAGCGATATCTTCATTTACAAAGATGGTGCTAAGAAGTTTCGTGACTTATTAAGATAAAATTTTCTTTATTGATATTTATTTTAATCATTTACTTCATGATTTAACACATGCAAAAGTTATCTATAACGTGCCACATAAATCTAAATTTTCACGTTGTTCGATCTTTAAAAACGTTCTAATTTTAATTTTGAAATATTGTTCTTAACGGATATTTTTCTGGATACATTGATATTAAATCAACGAAAATCCTTAAATTTAAATTATTTTACTTCGTTTTTCCTAATTTAACAATTGAAATTCTTTCTCTGTAATTTAACTTGCAAAACGAGTTTATAGTGTTCGTTTTCATTTTAAATTTATAAATTCTCCAATATTTCTTTTTAAATAAAAATAATTCCTAAATTTAGTAATAAACAGATATAAAAATAAAAATACATAACTTATTTTTTACAAGAAACTTGGTACCAAGCTCAAAATTCAATAAATAAATTGCTAAGGAAGCCAATTATTTGAAAAGTCATCTATAAGTTCTTCATGAAGAGCTGATGATGGAACAAACGGGTCAAATGAAATTATTGGTTCCCTTAACTTGCAGTTTATTTATTAAACTTGTGTTTTATATTTAAAAAATACAACGAGCAATAAAAATATTTGAAAAAATATGAGAAATGCGCTGTATGTCGCATACAAGCCCACCGGTGGTCGAGCGGATAAAACCACTGAACACTGGTAATTGGTCGTAGGTTCGCACTCACTTTGAGTTTTCCGGGTTTACTTCATGCTCGACGCTTTTTTACTTTTCCGGCTATTCTGTCTTTAATTACAAATGAATTAAATTTGAATCGCAAGATTTGTGCACGATACAAAACAAGTTAAATAAAGGCGATGAAGATTACTATTTATTTATTTTATCATATAACATTTTTGAAACTAAATAAAAGTTTCAAAAATGTTTATAGAAGTTTTATTTTATCGGAAATTACGGCGAAATTCACTTATAATTTTATAATAAAGTATTTTTAGAAGGTAACGACTTTGACCACCAGTAGCGGAAGAACAATAGTCTGTTTTGGCAAATTTTATTCTGCAATTACTTTGAATTTTTCTCGCTATATAAAAGGTATTAATTTTCAATATTTGATAAATTAACATTGATTAGAAATAAAGAAATTATTTTAAATCTTAATCCAATTTAGAAATATGATTTTGTCGAGAGTAGCGAACACCAGTTAGAGAAGCGATGAGATTGTAATGGCGGAGTTTTATTTAAATCATTCGATCGTCAGTTCGTTTACTTTAAATGCCAACTTATTTGAAACACAGTTTAAATGTTTTTTGATTAAAATTTCTTACAGTAAGTCAATATTCAAAATCAGATCATTTGCATAATGACATTACTACAGATGCGCTGTTATATCCATACTAACGGGTAAAGCCATAAGCACCTTCGACCTAAAAGTTCATTGTAATACTCACGAAAAAATCAATTCATAACTCCAAATCTCTCTAAAGGAAAGATGAAAGACTACCTGGCTCAAAGTGGAAGAACTCAGATGAACAAGTTTACCTAAGAAAAATATGTACTGTACTAGTTAGGCAGGTGCAACAGGTGTAACTGCACATGGCCCACCTGTAAGGGGGCCAAAAAGTATGAATTTGTTTTATTATTTTCCCAAACCTAATTAATTAAGGGGCCTAAATGCAAATTCTTGCACAGGGCACAGGAATGAATTGCTACGGCACTGTACAGTACACTCACAAATGAATTGCATACCCATAAAAATGGCAAAAGGAGAAAAGTTTATATTAACTTTACTTGCTTCAATTTTACAATTGGGGCCATTCTTTTGTCTAAAAACGAGTATTTTGAAATCATAAACCACACTATCCGTAGTACGGGCGCCGCCATCTTTCTTTCACCGTCGTTCCTAAATGCCTACAAATAGTAGCTCACTCCCGTAGTAGCAAAGACACAGAGCGAACAGAATACAAATTTTAACAGTGTTTTGATTCTTAATATACTGTAGGCTTCAAAAACTACTAAATGGACCAGACATCCCTCGACTTCTATCAATAAATTTATAAAGCTATCTTCTCGTCATGGATTACAAGTGTCAGTTTGAAATCCATCACTTTTTTGTCTCTTCTCGCCCAGTGAACATCAAGAAGGCATTCTTTTAGGTTCATACATAGTAGGTTCGATCAATGAAGTAGCCGGTTGATGAGAGACGAGACTCGACATATCGGAGACAAACCATCTTAAAAAATTCCAGGGGGCTTTTCGATCACCCGAATTAGGTTGCAAGGCAGTGCGAAAAGGAGAAAAAACAATAATAATACAACAAATATTTCTTAATTTATATGATAACGTTTCAAATTATATTGGGATTAAAGCTTCAAACATACAGTATTTGAAATAAAATGATTTTATTTACTGATTTAAATAAAAACACCATAAGTATTCTGTCAAGATATAATATGTTTTAACTTGATTACAGTTATTAAAACGAGTGTAAAGAAATTGAAGTGTCTTTTGGTTTCAAAATGTACAAGTTTTCTGAATGGAATGATACTGGAAGGAACGATGACTCTAGCATTGTTAATCCTAAGATGCAACCATATAATATTTTGTTTTTATTTGTTAGCATTGCTCTTGGAGGTGAGAACTTACTTTCATTATTTTCAAAATTTAAGATTTTTATGTAACTTAAATATAAATTTAATTATGACAGATAAGCATATTTTTGATATTACCAAAGTTTTTTTAATTATAATCATAATCAACGTTGAATAATAATAAACTGTAAATTTCTGGTTTCCGGTTCAGTTTATATTATTATAAATAAATGTCAATAAAATACAATGATATCTCGGTTTTCGTCGGTTTTTTCGGACGGATTATCGACGAAAACCGAGATATCATTGTATTATAAAATATAGGTTTCAACAAGTGTCAGATTACCGTAAGATTTCAGAAATATTTCAGTACATTCCACGCGCGATGATATGGCCTCTCTAGTTATTTAAGCCGTATAACGACGTTATATTAGTTAAAAGTTTCGCTTGTTTTCGTAATCATTTCGATTTTAAATACTGTAGATAGATATGTATATAAAAAAAAAAACGATAAGTAACCTCTAACATGTTTTGTTTCCCTCGAATAAAGCTATCGGTTGTTATTTTTCGAGTCTTAATTCTAAATAACTAATTGTAATAACCTAAAATTATTTATTTTATTATATGGTATTTATTTATTCGATATTATCTCATTACAAATTACGAAGGAATGGATAACTTTTTCATGGAATTAGTAAAAGTATTAACTTTTCAATATATTTTCAGCTCTAGTGCGATTTTTATTGAAGAAAATTCGTCTGCCTTACACAGTTGTATTATTGGTTTGTGGTGCTCTGTTTGGTTTGGCTTCCTCCAGATTCTCCAGCTTAGAAAAATACACGCAGATTACAAGAATGGATCCTCACGTTATTCTGCACGTCTTTTTACCCATCCTCATCTTCGAATCTGCTTTCGCTCTCGATGCTCATACTTTTCTAAGATGTTTCGCTCAATGTTTAATCCTCTCTGTTCCTGGATTGAGTAAGTCTCTCATTCATTTATTTATCTATTTCGAAGTAGTTCAGTACGATAATGAATTACTATATCTTTCAGTTGTTTCTTCTGCATTAACTGCCGTGTTATCTTATAAAATATTTTCCGAATATCAGTGGAATTGGGCAACTTCTTTTCTTTTTGGCACCATTCTCAGTGCTACAGATCCTGTTGCTGTAGTAGCGTTGCTTCGAGAGTTAGGTAAGTTTTATATTGCTTATATTTATAATATAAAAGTACAAAGACTATCAAGTTTTTTTTTATTTGTTATAGGAACATCGAAATCGTTATCCACTATTATCGAAGGTGAATCGTTACTAAACGATGGTTCTGCAATTGTAGCGTACGACATCTTAAGAGAATTAGTGGTACCAGGAACTACTGTAACAGCTACGCAGATTTTCTTGAAATTTTGTCAGATTGCTTTAGGTGGACCAGCGCTTGGTTTTATAGTCGGAAAATTAGCAGTGTTCTGCCTTTCGCATATATTTAACGATGCCGTTATTGAAATCACAGTAACGTTAAGTGCTGCATATTTGACATACTACCTTGCAGAAGTTGTTTTACATGTTTCTGGATTGTTGGCAGTTGTCATTTTGGGTGTTGTTATAAGTGCTGAGAAAGCTAGCATTAGTCCCGAAGTTGAAGGATTTGTCCACAGGTAAAGCCTTCAACTAATTTTTATAATACTTGCACTAAAATATTTGTTTATATCAAGATAAAATTTATTAACAATTGTCTAAATCATGTTTCTCTTAAATTTTACAGATTTTGGGAGATGCTATCTTACTTTGCAAACACGGTAATTTTTATAGTAGTGGGCCTAGTTATAACAGAAAGAGCAGCAAGTCATATAGAAGAACAAGATTGGTTTCATATTTTAGTGACATATGTTGGCGCTACATTTTTCAGGTACATACATTTTTCATGATAATTTACAGTTTTAAATTGTAGACATATCAATAAATATATGTGTATATATATTTTCATTTAGATTAGTAATGATAGTGCTGTTTAGTCCTCTACTCTCTAGACTCGGTTACGGATTAAAATGGCAAGAAGTAATAGTTATGACTTGGGGAGGTCTTAGNTTGAGAATCAGCTTGTAAATACGTTTGAAATTATTGATAAACGAAACTGTTTTTATTTTTTAAAAGAAAATTTTTTACGTTAAATCTTTAAAAAATTTTATCTCAACAAAACTTTATTTGTTTTCTGAATATAACTCGGATAACGAGTATCTAACTTGTAAGATATCAGTCTATAGTTCTGTGGGACAGCGGCCGGATGGCCTACCGCTCTGGGGGATCCGGGTTCGAATTTGAACGGGTCGAAAAATTCCCAGGAATTTTTCGGATCCGTTCAGATATGTCGGGCCATGTCTCTCACCACCCGGCAGCTTCATTGTGGGCCTAGCCGAACCCATAATGAGCTTGCAAAAAGAGGCCCTCTTAGTGCCCACAGGGCGGAAAGAGTTAAAAAAAAAGTTCTGTGGGACTTGGAAAACAACTCTGAATGGATCGAAGAATTCCAGGGATTTTTCGGGATGAGACTTCCTGGATATATTAAGTCTCCTTCCTCATCACCTACCACTCCATTGTGGGCCTGGTCGAACCCACTATGTGTTTAATTTAAAGTATCTCTTTAAAAAAAAAAATTTGCAATCCTGACATAAGTTGAGAACGCCTTTCTATACATAAAAATTCGCTAATAACTTTTTATAAAGTATATAAAATTTACTAACTTTTTTGTATGTTTGCTCTTCCTGTAGGCAGTTAAGTTAAGAAAATACAGTATTTTTTCCGAGTCATGCTATCGTGGGTTCAGCCAGGCTCACAATGGAATGGCTGGATTGTGAGGGACAGACTACCCTCGAAAAATTCCTGTGGTTTTTTGACCCATCTAAATTCGTTCCAGGTTTCCCAGAGCGGTAAGTTGACATCTTAACTATTCAGCAATCTGACAAAATATATTCTAATGTCGTCTATGATTAAAATTTATCAACATTTGATGATAAAATATCGTATATTTCATTTAATATTTTACGAAATGCATAATAAATTATTAATAATTTTATATTGTTAATCACGTACACGAACTCCTTTTAAGATTGAAGATTGTTTCCTTAAAAATTAAATACATTTATTATTATTGTTTTATGGATTCTATTATGAGAAAAAAGTATTAATAGTGAAACAAGAGTAGAAAATATTATTGTCCATTAGGGCGTTATCCTATGGGCAAAAAGAGCAATTTCCTGGGGTCCTCACGACAGGGGTCCTAACCAATCTTTTATAAGAAAATATTTCTTCAAAAAATTTCGCCGAAGAAAAATGTTCGAATTCAACACTGTACATGGGGTCCCCCAATTCAAAGTTGCCTGGACCCCATGAGGTTGTAATGGGCAATTGTTACTATATGTTTTTGTTAATGAACGCGATCATAATCTGTTCATAAAACAGATTCAGAAAATGAAACTGGAACGATTGCACTGTTTTTATTTCAATCGATAGATTAAATAACAAAAGAACAGTTAAAATACAGTGGAAACTTCAGTCTTTAGAGAATCGTTTTCTCATAGAGATACATACTACTTTATGTAAAGAGTGCATTTAGTTTTCTCTTAGATTAAAGAAAATTCTTTCGACAAATAAGCAGAAAAGAGACAAAATGTAGCCTAATATAAGTAATAAAATGGGACTGATGACATCATCGATGGATAACTCGTGGAATTCGGAAGTTTTGATCATTTCGGTATCTTCTGTGTAATCGATTTTCTCGATAATTCCGGATTCGAATATTCGACGAATTCTGAAATAATGTTTTAAATACGATTTTCGATAAAAATATTTAATTTTCATTTATTTATTGAATATTAACTTACATTTTATTTATTTCGTGTGAAAAAGGAAAACCTTTTCTCATTGCATAAGTTTCCATAAATGTGGAAAATTTGTCTTCCGAAAATACAAATTTGTTTAAATCTTCTTTCGGGATTAACTTTTTCATCACATAATCACTGTATATTACAGCAAACCGTTCTTTCTGTACTATTTCCATTGCTTCCGATAACTTAATGAAGTTATTGTTTTGTATTATGTGGTCTCTTATTATTTTAATACTTGTTACTTTGGAATTCTAACATATTATTCAATATCAAAATTGTTTTCAAATAAAATATAACAAATAAGTTTTATATTATAACTACTTACAAGAATGGTTTTCCATATGGTAGATTTACTGGGAATTCCGCAAGAATATTCACCCGTAAGAACGGAATTTGATAATTCATCGATAGTTTTTGGAATGTGATTAGTTAATGGATAAGTCATGAACGACATTAGATTCCCGCTGTAACTGGATACAAGAACAATGATGGAAAACCACCATATTCCTATCAGAAATCTGGATGGAAACCTCTTTATTGAATCCAAATTTATTCCTATGTATACAAAATTCAATATAGGAAAAATAATTGTTAGGAATTATCTCATAATAAAGAATTATACCTTTATATACGAAGGTACAAAATAAATTCCAGAACACTTTACTTCTTGGCCAATACACTTCCATATCTTGTAATACAAAGTCTCGTTCTAAAATTTTGTGTAATGATAGTCCAAACACAATCACGGTTATAAATATAAAGATCCAAATCTAGAAAATTAAAATATTGCAATTGCAGTAAAATTGTTGCATCTGAAATAACAAATACTTGCCATAAAGGAGTATGGAGCTATAATTGATTTCCAATTGGAGAAGTTTTCTGGAGCTTTAACAACAAATACTATATTCTGAAATCCTACTGTTACTGAAAATTCCATAAAGGAAAACAAATCGTAACTAATATAAAATGGAATAATTCCCATATCTGCTTCCTGAAATCGAAAATTTAATAATTCGTTATGACTTAATTATTAAAAAGAAATTTCCGACAAAATATTGAATATTAAACATTTTAAAATAAAATTTGTTTATAAAGCTACGATATAAAATATAACTTACTTGTCTATATATTTTCCCAATCATTTTGGTCCCGGTTTTATTTTTGCTTAATGCTCCAAAATAATCGTCTAATGGCTTAACTATGGAGTAACTAATTGCATGCAAAGTATTAGATTTTCACATGGAAAGAAATAATATTCTACATATATTTACTATAATGTGAAAATTTCTTTAATTATAAATATCCAACACAAAAAATACTATAGTCAAAATAGTGAATTGTGTGTTTGTAATACTAAAAAATGGAAGATATTGTACGAATATTAATTTAAACAGGGCAAGAACGTGAAATTAATAAATACCCTAAATTCTGATAGGCAGGCAGTGTATTACTCCCATCAGTGGATGAGTGGCTGGAACCAATGTCCACTGGTTCCAGCCATTCGACCACTGGCCACTGGTTGTGCGTTTACGCTTCCCAACGGGCTGGCCACGTAAAACTTTCCAGGTTTTCATTACGTTTGTAATACATAAATGGGGACCAGTTTCCCATAGAAAGTGTTACGGGACTGCATCCTTGTCGGCAGATTGACACGATATTGCATTGCCGTATAGAAACACTCAAAATGCAACAAGCTTTAAAGGAAGATGATTGCAAACAAATCAGCTAGATTTCAATCATTTACTTCTGAACGTATTGAGACAGATTCATCTTTCGAGTGTCCCATTTAATCGTTTATCGGGCATTGAAAGATTTCTATTATTCATTCAGGTTCTTATTTTTATAATGCATAATACGACAGAATCCAAATAAATGCAGTTCTATATACTCACGAACATTTATACAACTGGATGAAGCAAATGTTCTGTTTCTAGTGGTGTGGGAGTCCAATCTATCGTGCGACTGAAATATACCGTGCTCCGCGTAAAACCACCATATAGGCTAGAAACTATTCGGTGTTGGCTGCTGCGATTAGAAGCGGTCTGGTACATATATTCTGATGTAAAAATAGACCGTGCAATGCTTCTGTAACTCAAAGAGGAAAATATAAAACCAACGGCATTAAATTGTACCAGATGGTACTGTACATCTCTATTGTCTTTTTTCACAAGGCAAGAGATACTCCATCAAATTGAACTTTTATTTTTGATTGGAAATAGCTATTCATTTACGTTATCATTTTTTCACTGTGTATCTTTCTCTAACCCTGTGTACGACTGCAAGGGTCACCGAATGTAAGATTAGACTGATTCTTAATGTATTATGTTCGTTAATTGAGAACTTTTAACCGTGTGATCTTTGTGAAAAGAAATTCGAGAATGTCGGAAACACTTGTTTTCATCTTTCTTAACCAGGTTTTTTAAAAGTTTTACTGTGGTGTATTATTTGCTTTAGTGTCTACAAGTAACATCATCTTTTAATACAAAATATCTCAATACTTATTATAATGGATAAATAAAAGTAAAATTAATACTGTTTATGTTATTATACACTTTAGTAAATAAAAATCAGGTTTATATCTTCGGTAAAAAGTACTGTGCTTTTATACGTAACTGTAAATCATAAATTCTCATGTCACACTATTGTGATCAAGTTTCACACTTTAATAACATTATGAAAATACCGAAATTTGAGTTTCTCTTGAAGAGCTTTGAAGACTCGAAAATGAACTCCTCCTATCATTTCATTTTCAGAATCATCAAGAGTTACGAAATGTGGATTCTGAAAAATGTACATACCGATTTTAAATACAAAAATATCGGTATTATAAATATGACATTGTAAATTTTACCTTTAACGCCGCTAATTTCCATTCGTACGAATCATTTAATTTAGCTGTAAAAATAAAATAACTCAGATTGGAATTCTATTTTGGAATTCTGTTAGATGCACTGCCTATAACATAATTCCAAAATATGTTATAGAAAGTTACAGGTAATTAAAAATATTGGCTTATATACAAAAGTTTTTATTTGTGATTAAGATTGTAATTTGGGTGTCATTTCTGAAAGCCATATTTTAGTTTAGACGATGATAAAATCTGTTGCATGCATGACGTACTACAGTTAATGAAAACATTAAGAAACAAACATCTAAAATACGATTTAAAATTCAGAATAATAATTATAAATAAATGCTTTAATAATATTTAAGCCGTTTTGCAGAAATTACGCCATAAAGTTGCGCTTTGCCCAAACAAAATTCCATAGACAGTGACGATTCAAACTCGGAATTTGCCGGTTATCGTGTGGAGCTATAATATCTAACTGAAGAACTACCTCTAACTAATCTGTTGCTACTAGTGGCACACTTAAAGCCAGAATTGGCTTCACTGTAGAATAAATCGCTATAGTGTGAACGAAAGAATTTTGAATTTGACGTTGGAAAAGAGAAGGCAAAGATAAAGAACAATATAAAAACGATAAAGAAAACATTCGGTTAGATAAGCTTTAAATATGGTTGGTATTGTGTCATCTCTCAATATTGTAGTTTGTCCTATTCTGTCAAAACACTCTTCTTCAAAATATTCTGAGTTCAGGTGTGGATTCCAGCCTTGCCCCTATAAATAGCTTTCGCCCATTCGGAAGCAAGTTTTTTTTTATAGGAAATATAGTGTAAAAAATAAGACGGAGCTTTTATATGAATTCACACGCACAAAATTGAAGTTTGGATGAAGGGATATTACAAGTTTCGTAATAAAATTATATTACAGGTAAAAAACTGAATTTAGGGCGAGTGGAGTGGAATCTACTGTTTGAGCAACCATAGGCGATACAACTTTTCAACGTTCTTCTGCTGTATTTAACGGTATTCAGATGTAACAATCAAAAAGACAATCCAAACTTGAGGTGCCGGTTAGTGTTCTGGCACTTTTTAATTTACAACTACACTCCTGGTCCAAGTAGGTCTATTGTTTAATTGAATCTATTGTTAAGATATTTGTAGCAAATTTTATTCATATAACAATGTATTTTTGATGTCTGAGTTTACTCGTAATTCATTTTATTTCTTTGCATAAAAATTTATTTTATTCAAGAAAATTTCGTCAAATATTCTCTTTGATTTAACTTTTAACTTAACATTTTAAATAACATGTTAAATTTCTTATATACAGTATTTAAATAAAACGAAGATGTAAATTTAACAAAATTAATTAATTCATGTAATTCATTCAGGTAAATAGAACTTAACGATCATAATTCTTGAGTAATTTTTGTACACTTTCACCGTTTTATCTTAACAATAAATAAAAATTATTATAAATAAACTATAAATTTACTTAAATTCTTACCTTTTGTTAATAGGATGTGGTGAGATAATGTAAATAATATGAAATTTAATGTAAAAATCATATTAATTAAAGTCTGGTAATAAAAGAAAAGAATAATTTGCGTAAGTTTAGTCTGTAGCAACAGGCAATGAAGCAAATTATTGAATATACGGTATTAGCCCGAATATAACGCGATATTTTTCATTTATTTTCCATTAAAAAGTCGACTCTCGCTAATTTCGGGGTTTAAGTAATGGAATGTAATATAAACAAGGACATTTTCCTACAGAGGTTGAAACGCGACTGAACGTCCGACCAATTCCTAGCTCGACCGACCACTTCAAAACAACCACGTGATCTAGTTAGTAGGCCTGCGCTTTTGTTTGCATAACGCTACTATAGTAAGGCTATGTCTCTTGTTAACGTCTCACGCAACTGTTTTGTTTCATTTGTTTTTTTGATCTAGTGACTAGTGACGGTTACTTTACTTTTTTCTTTATTGCCCATAAAAAATGAGTGCGAGTAATAAAGGTAGTGTTGAGAAAAAAGGCTTATCAGAGTCAAAAAAAGGTAACAGGAGAACCTTTACGATATGAATTTTAAAATTATGATTGCAAAAGAGGCAGAAAAAACGAACAACTTGAGAGTTTCGAGGAAATAAAGAGTTCCAGAAGTAAACATCCGTCTATGGAGAAAAGATTTAAGGAAAGATAAGAATGCAAATTCTTCAAGAAAATCTTTTAGTGGATCTAAAAAAAAGGAAAGTTTAATGAAGTTGAGCAGCGAGTGTTAAAATTCGTAATACAAAAGTGAAATGAAGGGTGCCCAATATCCCGTGAAGTCATAAGATTTAAAGCGTTAGAAGAGGCTGCTAATTTAAACATTCCTAGAAAGGAGTTTAAGGCAAGTATGGGTTGGTGTAGAAGAATGATGAAAAGGAACGGTTTATCACTACGACGGCGGACAACTCTCGCGCAAAATCTTCCTGACGACTTTAATAAAAAATTGTTGGCTTATCAGCGCCATGTTATATCATTACGCAAAAAGCACAACTACAGTCTTGGAAATATGGGAAGTGCAGACCAAACACCAGTCTATTTTGGCATGTCTTCCGACCTTACGGTAAATAAGAAAGGTGAAGAAACGGACTTATTGAAGTCAGCTGGTTATGAAAAGTCCAGAATTACTGTTATGCTTGCTGTTACTGCTGACGGACAAAAGCTTCGACCTTACGTTATATTGAAACGTCAAACAATGCCCAAAGAAAAGCTGTGTTCCGGAATTGTTTTTCGGGTCCAAGAAAAAGGTTGGATGACAGAGGAGTTGGTATTAGACTGGTTGAATGTGATATGGGGAAAACGGCCAGGTTCTCTGAGAAACTCCCGCTCCATGCTAGTCCTTGATGCATTTCGAGGCCACCTTACGATAAGTGTTAAGGAAAAAATTGAGGCATTGAATTCTGATCTCGTAATAATACCGGGTGGTATGACTTCTCAGTTGCAAGTCTTGGATGTGGTGGTTAATAAACCGTTTCGTTTAAAGAGAATTTTCGAAAAGAATATAACAATTGGCTATTATCGGGCAACCATCCATTGACACCTTGAGGAAAAATAAAAAAACCCTCAGTCTCTCTTTTAGGAGAATGGATTGCGACTGCCTGGCAGAAGATCGAACGTGAATCGATAGTTAAAGGTTTCAAGAAATGCTGCATTTCCAATGATTTAAATGGGACGGAAGATGACATTTTGTGGGAGACTGAAAGCGTGAATGAAAATACGGATGATACCGATGTGACATCATTCTGAAAACAGTTCAGATTCTGAATAAACATTTCCGTTTTTTGTTGTTACTTACGTAATATAAATTTTGTTTTACATTACTTAATTTTATTGACATGAATGTAACCTGTGTTATTAGCTATAATTACCTAAGTAAATGATTATCTGATTGAATTTTACTTTCTTTGAATTCTTTTATGAGTATTATTTTTTTTCTAAATATCTTTATGAAAATTTCGGAGTCGCATTATATTTGGGCTAATACTGTATTTTTCGCAACGGATAGCAGATTTTTCAACTGGAATAGAATGAAAAAGAGTCAACTGGAATATTTTTTTAGATTTTATGTTTCTATCGTTGCGAGTCCTTTCTTATTCGCTTAACAATGTCACGCGAATTTACCGACAAACTATCAAGTTCCTTACTGAGATCTCGGATTATAATTTGATTGATGTAATAACTGCCATAACTTTTATCATGCGATTTCATCATTAAGTTTATCATTAATACAAAAAAGCATTTATAATACTATTTTTAGGCTAAATCATATTTAATTCTCAGATTTCGAGTGTAGTTGTATGTAAAACTTTGAGCGGTGATTGCATTAGTCTGTTATTATTGATTAATATTTTTTACCTCTATGTCTATACATTTTTAAATTTCTGTGTATACCCCGTCTATTTTGACTTTGTTTATTTAATAGGACTTATTCTGGAGTAGTTTCTGATTAGCAAATAGAGGAGATGGTAGTAAAAAGTCAAAACCAAATAAATTATCTTTATTTTCACCTATATACCTATATATGTTTATCTTTTGTAGGAGGTAAAAACCATCCATCCCTACCATCTGTTGCTACCTGGAAAAAAATACTCATTCTATCTAACGAGTAAGAGTGCGGAGTGATTATTGTGTTGGTATTACTATATAATTAAATAACATAAACAAATACAAGATATATTACAGCTTATTAATATACCTTATGCAAAGAATAAATGTTATATACAGTAGACTCATACATATCCGGCTTCCCATATCAAAAGAATTAATATGGATGTTATATGAAGATTGATCAAAAGAAATTAAAACGTTGTTAATGCAATATAATAAAGCAAAAGAACCGAATCGATCAACAATGAAAAATATTCACGCAATGTTTTCAACACTGTTTTTTCTGACATTTAGACATTTTAAATTCTTAACTCACGGAATATGTATTTTGAAAGCGCACAGACTTTACATTTATAAACCATTAGGCATTTTATACTTTATAATATTAAACTAATGGAATATATATTTATACAGAAAAGTAGGTCGAGCATGCATTAGTTGATTAATAAATATATATTTATACAGAAAAGTAGGTCGAGCATGCATTAGTTGNGTGAACTAACTGTTAATTTTAATTAACGAGTTTAATTAATGAAGTTGCAACATATAAAATTCTCCAAATATTGAAAGACTGATCAAAATGTTGCAAACATAAAACTCCCTCTAAAAATTAATTATAAATTAAATTTTTCTTAAATATTTTGTTTAAAATTTTGAATGAATAAAATGTGATATAATTTCTATTGCTTGTATTACAATTTGAATATATCATGGGGAAAAAAGGCTATTTTCCGTGGAACTTTGGTATAATTTAAAGGAACTTTTGATACCTTGCCTGGACACATGCGGCGATATAGTTGGACGTATAGTATGCTATTATATAACAGATTGTCTAATGTTGCTATTGCCGCTTCAGACCCTTCACGCTCGTAGATGCCAAAGATGGCACTCCATCTGGTCCTACGAATGCTCAATGGGTAATAAATCTGAAGATCGGACAGGTTAAGGAAGCGTGACATCTGACGGAGACATTCCTAGGAAACCGTCGCCGTTTTGTGGCGAACATTATCTTGCTGAAAAAAATGGTTGTTTGCTGCCCCTTTGTCAAAGGCAACATGAGGACACAGTATTTTCTGAACGTACAGCTGTATCGTCAATATCCCTCGCATCACTACTAGAGGTGGCTGACTCTTATGCGAAATGGCTTTTCAGACCAACAAACCAGCACTGGGACAGTTTGCCCCGCAATAGTAAAAAAAGAAATTGAACCGCCTTTCCCTAACAGAAGCGGGAATTGTTGCCAAAGATGATACGCTGTCAGTTCATTGCAATCTATGATTTTCTGTCACGACACCGCTACAAATGAAACCGACGATGTTGGCATGATAATGGAAGGACGCGTAATAGTTATTGTGCATGCAAATTTGTCTCTGCTAGTCATCTGCCAGTGGCTAGAAAGTGACAAGGTTCTGTAGCAAGGCTCCTATCTATCTATGAATGGTGGACAAAGACGTCGTTGCATCAAGATATCCCACACTTCCATGCAGTCAGATCAGAACGGCCCAGATAAATTAGGAAATTCGGCGAAACTATTCTTGCTTCTCTGAATCCCATGATATGGTCTTTGTCAAACTCCGTCAGCTGTGCGTAATGTCTTTGACTGCGTCGTGCAAGCATACTTGGCATTTGAAGATCTCCAAACAATAGGTAGACCCTACATTGAAAATTCTGAACAGAGTGAGCCTCTGCGAGCCTTTTTATATAATACTGGGGTAGCGATTTTAAGTCAACTTGGTGGCATTATCTGTTCTGCAATCGTATCACAGTTATAATCATAAACATATGTAGACGTATGCCGAGTTTTGGAGTAATCGGGCAATTTATCTGGGTGCATAATTTTTGTTTGGTTAATGAGGTTTGTTAATATAACGAGTGGTCCAAAAGTTAGTTTAACATGTAATTTTTGTTCGTAGACAGGTTGTGAGTGTAGTTAACCATTATAACTTGCGTATTGAAAAAAGAAAGATATAACCTTCAGCAATTTCTGCAAAGTTTCTAAATTTTTGAATAAGAGTAGTTCAGTCTTTAAAATGGTCAACAATCTTTTGGACCTCATGTAGTCTATAGGGCATAAATTATGTTGAAAGCTTTTAAATGTGTATTAAGTTTAGGTTCTATTAACGTTAAGTATGTTAAGAACAAAGCATTTAGTATAGAAATTTATGTAAATTTTGCATTAAAATTTTAAAAATTGCATGCATTTTTGTACAAAATATTATTTAAAATATTTATGATGTAATTAAATGGCTAGATTTGTTTTTAATTAAATAATTATCAATGATTAAATATATAATATCCCTTTATATTTATTGTATAGATTTTTCTTTTAATACCGTAATTTACTTTCTATTATAAAATTTATAGTTTTATATACTCAAATTTTATGTATCAGTAAAGCATAATTACATCGTTTTTCGTGTTCATATAGCATAAATTAATTAAGATTAATTTAAACAAACTTGATGTATATAAGTAGAGCCTTCATATATTATTCATCATTGTTAAGTTCGCTCCATCTGAGCGTAATAAACACATAATTTAATATTCTAAAAAAAGGTGTCGAAATAAAAAAAAAATTTAAATAAATTTAACAAAAATCTGACGATATAATCGACTCATTTATCATTCTTATAAATTTGTTAAAGGCCATACAAATACATTATAAAACTTTCCGCTTTGAGTATTATAATCTAAATTGACATAGCGCAAGAGGCGTACTTAATCTTAAGTCCACAAATCTAAGCTTAACTTAATATAGAATTATGGTCGAAGGTTTATCTATATAGTAAAGTGACTTTCATTTTCTAACACGACATCACTTCTCCTTTAACGTATAACATTGAATATTTAACATACAAATGGAGGCAACGACCCAATAGTTTTGCGCTTCCCTTATTATTCTAAATCTCACCAAGCACTTAAATTCTTGTCTGGGAGTCAGATTAAATGTTTTAAAATAAAACTTTTAATATTACAAAACTTTTTTTTAAACCGAGTTTTAATGAGTTTTGAGCTATTTTTAAGTGCTTAAATTTTACGTTTGTTTAAGCTGTTTTCTGCAATTTTTAATGCTTTAACGTATTTAATTATATATTTTCTTGGCATATCTTTGTTTCTAATTTCATTTTTTAAAGTTTTTATTCACGTTAACGCTTCCGCAATCCCACCTATCTGCTCACTTTTTAGTGTCGTTCCCCTCTTTCTACTACCTTAATGAACCTTCTAAGGGGTAAGTAACATTTCCCTATGATCTTATCTTGATACGTCGTAAATAAAATTTATTACCTATTACTTTGTCTTTTCACGATATCATCTTTAATTGTCTAAACATATCATTGCTTCTTTGTATGCTATGTGTTAGATACAAAGGAGTGAGAATGACTTCTTTGTTAGGTGATAGTGACAGAAACTAATCAACTGTTACAATAGATTATTTATAGAAATAAATGAAAAATAATACTTTGTAACTTTAAATATTTCTTTAAATAATTATAAAATGTTTACTCATTTTATAATTTAATAAATATTTATTAAAATAATATATTTAAATGTTTATAAATAGTGCTTCCATCTATGAGTCAGTTAAAGCAAATATTAAATTTCATTATGATAATTTATATTATTTTAGGTTATTAAAAATAATTTTTGTAATAAAAAGTCTTTATTTTTAGTTTTTTTGTAGAAATATGTCCTTAATTAAATTTAAATTTCGATTGTATTTAATTTTTAAAGTACATAATTCACATCATTTAGCATTTTTTTTTTCTCCCCTTGAGATAAAAGCGACGCGAGGTCGTGTTGTAATATTTTAATTTTATAAAGTTATTAATATCAATTAATAATTATATTTAATTAAACAAATTAGAGAATGTCTCTAGAGTATAACGACATTTTTCTGTCAGAGTCATTCTTGTAAAATGGCGAGAAGTAATCGTAATATTACGTCTTCTCCATCCCTCGCGGAAAGGATAATTGCACGACGCGACGCGGCTTGTAGAAAGATTTCTTTATGATTATGGTTAAAATTTTGGGGATTTTGACGTATTTTTCATGCAATTTTCTCGCTTTTGCTGATGAAAAACTAAACACATTTTGTAACTGTGTAAGTCGTGTCAATAGTTCTCATGGGAAGGATAGCGATACGATTTTGCGAGAGTTTTCTCTCGCGCGATAAGAAAGAAAGCGAGATTTTCTCTCGCTTTCTTTCTAGAATGTAAAAGAGAGATTTTTGCGATTGATAAAATCGCATGGCATTAATATATGTTTTTAAAAATAACAAAGTAAATGCGAGTTGTTTTGTTAAGAGGAGTGCTTTGCACTTCTTAAAGAAAAGAAAAAAATATATATTTAAATTCCACCATTTTTATAATTTTTAATTTTGCCATTTTTCTGCAACTTTGAATTAAATAATTTTCTTTCTTTTGGAAACTAGATAATTGAGAAACGAATGAAAAAATTACTAAATGCACCTACGAGTATGCTTCCTGCACCACCCATTGAGTTATTAAAGAACGTCGATTGGATCGCTGGAAATGAAGCAGTTTTTAATTTTATCAAGGTAATAATAATTTTAATATATATTTAAATAAAAAAAAGAAAACATTATATATAAATTTTAATTAATTTCTCGGCGATATCGGATATTAGAAACGTGATGAAATGAAAAGTTTTCAATATAGCGTTGTTAGTTGCATGATATATTATAGAGCAAGATCAAAGGATATTTTTCTACCTTCAACAGTTTAAAAAATTGAAACAAAAATTAATAATTTATTTTTCAATAAACTTATGAGAAAATAAATGGAAAAATTTTTCTATGTTAAAAATAAATTTTGTGTAAGTTCATTTAGAAAGATGCCTCACATAAATATAAAGGCACAACTTGTTATGCAAATAAAAGCTAAACTAATTTAATTTTGAGGTAGTTACAACTTACAAATAAACATATTAAAAAATCGTGTAATTATATTGTTTAACAATAAATTCATTTAAATCAAAATCACATTTCTTGCTGTCCCAAAAATATAAAGGCATAATAATACAAAATCACTAGAACAGTAGAAAGCATTGTTACAAATCTTTAATAATAATCAACTAATAACTAATACAGTTCCCCTTTTTCATTATAACCTTGTAGACACAGTCTGACATTGATTATATAAGTTTTTGAAGGACTACTGTAGTTATTTTTTCCAATGGATAATAATTGCATTTTTTAACTCATCTACACTATTATATTGGCTCTAGCTAAGATTACATATACAGCTCTAGCTAAGATTCCCTAGAGGTTTTCCATTGGATTCAAATCTGGGGAACGAGCTGGCCAATCAATAACTGGGACTCCATAACTTAAAAACCACCCATAAGTTGATTTAGCTGTGTGGATATTGTTGGAAAAACCAACGATTTCCAGCAATTACATCAGCCCAAGGCAAAAGATAACTTTCTAGCATGTCTTGATAATGATTTACATTCATTCGGTCACTGAGGAATGCAATATTTGTCTTGCCAAACCAACTAAACCCACCCCATACCATCACTGAGCCTTCCCCTTGCTGCCATTTTGAAAATATTTCTTCCCCACCCCTCAAATCATGCCAATAACAAGACCAACCATCTGTTCCATCAAAATTAAACTTCTCATCACTCCAGATGATGTGCTTCCACATGTCTGTCCATCCCATTTTCTCCCATGCTCAATGCAAGAGTTTTTCCTCATAGAAAGGGTTAGTTATACAGTAGTAAGGCTGACATGTATTAACAATTCTTCCAATTGTAGATTTTAATACATTAAAGCTCTGGTTTTGATGCTATTTTTTGTAAAGATGTTTGATTGCTTTGATTTCCCTCAAAATACTACATTTTCTTCTATTTGTAAGCTTAGAAGGCCGACTTGTTGATTTCTTTTCTCCATATTTGTCTCCAAGCTTTATGAAATTACCAATTACAGTTGGAGAACAATTAATTTTCTTTGCAATTGCTCTTGTTGAGTAATTTTTATCTCTTAAAGCTGAAATTTTGCCTTTTTAAACATGTTAATGGTTTTGCATGTCCCATGATGAAAAACAATAAATCTAAAGTTTTATATACTGATTTTAAAATTCTATATTAAATTAAATTAATTACTTCTTTATGAAAATTATCGAATTTATACATTTATAACAGTTTATAATTAATTTCCAGGAAAGAGCCGAAGTCATTTGTTTTTCCAAAGGATGCACTATAGAGGAAGCAGGAGACGAACCATCGGGAATTTACGTTATAACAGTCGGTCTTGTAAAGGTTGTTAATCTTATTATTGTCAATAGCATTTATTTTAAAATGCATAATGCGTAATGTTCTTATTTCTAAATATATTTTAAGGTTGTTGGAAGAATCGAACCAACTCAAGATGGAAGTTTACCAAATGTCGATTCTTTCCATTGGTTTCCTAATCAGCAAGAACTAGAGGACTATCTGACGGTGGGTAAACTGCTAGGAGAATTAGGAATTTTGACAGGGAAGCCAATGAGCACTTCAGCAATTGCTGATACTGAAGTGCAGGTCAGTAACTAATAACCTATAAAAATGGAATTTTATATTTTAATTAGTAATTGTAGCTGTAATTTTAATAAACTATCAAAATAGTTTATTATATATTAATATAAGTATATTTTAAATTTATTATGAATTTTTAGATAATTTGTAAATTTACAACTATATTACAAAAATACTTCAAAATATACTAAAAAAATATATTAGTAAAATCTATCTGATGCAAAACATCATTTGCATTTACTTTATGTAAGTTGATTTATTGATAGCCTACATAATCTGATAGTCATGTTGTTTTTTTCTTTCAGTATTAGATTTTTGTTATGAGAAAGTGTTAGATTTGATATTATAATTATTAAAAACTCTCAAATCTCTCTTCAGATCTGAATTTTTTACTTAGTTTCTCAAGATAATAAATTCCAAATTATGGTGTAAATTTAATAACTACACTTAAGATATAGTGTATAATAGCTAATATATATGTTAAAAAGTTCTGGTACAGTTCAAATAAGTAATAATGCACGCATTTCTAATGTTCAGTGTCTGCCACAATGCTTTGATAATAAAGTTTCATCTTTGATCTCCATTCTTCTAAGGTGGTACAGACATTTTCCATAAGAAAAACAGTCTGTTCTGGAAGAAATGGTTTCTTCAGAGCCTCAATATTTGTATGGGATTTAGCACAGACCTTAGCTCAAACTTTGACCATGTGACGTAATTTAATGGGTTCATATTAGGAACTTTCTCTTTTAACCAATACTATGTAGTTTTTGGTACTGTGAACCGAAGCTTAGTCTTGCTGAAAAGTCCAAGTTTGATTTTTAACAGAATTCTTATTCAATGGTTCTACCACTACATGCAGAATCTACCTTGTCATTCCTGGCACTCACTTTAACCCCTGTTGATACAAACAAAGTCCTTGCTAACTTATCTCTACCCAGACCTTAACACCTCCAGGGTTGTGAGCCTTTTAAGACTTCCAGACATGTATAGGAATATCTTTCACTAATTTGGCAGACACAACCATTTTGCATGTTAAAGTTTTCCTTCACAGTAGGAATTTTTCCATCTGTGAAGAGAATATTTTTACATCTTTTTGTCAAATTTCTACACAAGACAAACAACAACAAACCGGCTTTTCTTTTGAGCATGCATCAAAATGTAGTAGATATCACACTTTAAAACCTTATGTACGAGAGTACATAAGGTTTTAAATCAGTGTTAGTAATAATGGTTTGTCTTGAAACATTCATCTGTAAGGCCAGCTTTCTTTGGTATTGGTGAGGATTTCTTCTTACTTGAATCTTCAAAGTCTTCTGTGTGCCTAGTCTTTCTATCCTTCACTTCTTGGTTATCCTCAATATTGTTATTGTTTCTGTAACTCCTCTTCATGGTATGTACAGCATGCCAAGATTCTTGTAACATTCTTAGGATTTGGAAAAGAAAATTTCAGATTTCTTCATACCTTGAAGTAAAACTTGTAGAATTGTCTCATAGTTTGTTTATAGTTTCTTAAGTCCAATGCATATAAATCTACCAGAAATATCCAGCAAAAATTATACTTACTAAAAATAATGAAAACAAACAGTTTTGACAATTTTTAAATCATCTTCTTCAGGTGAGTCAAACTTTGACATGAAAATTGCAGATTCTTCATGGCTAATAGAATAAAAACTATAACTTACCTTATAATGAATTTGAAAAAATTTAAATAGCAAATAGAACACGTAAGAAAACTTAAATGAAGTGCATATTACAGACATGAAAAAACTAATGTAAATTTTGTACCAGAACCTTACACTTGTCATTAACATATCAGATTTTTGAACAGTTTTGAGTGGGACAACATAGAAGAAAAACATGTCTAATTTTTATCATCTCTTTATTCAACAAATAATTATAACTATGCCCCTTCTCTTACTCTAACTTAATAATGAAAATAGTGTTTTCATTCAATGATGTCAATTAGAAGTTTTAAGTTGTTTTAAATTTATGCTAGATCTTATCTTAATCTTTAGGTGTTTTACATACCTTATAAAGATATGATGGAAGCACTTAAAATCTTTAAGGATGACCCAAGTTTAGAGTATAAAATGTGGAGGAGTTGTTCCTTAAGGATTGCTAAACATGTTTTAAGAAATCATCCAGATTTTCAGGTTATTTATTAATAATTTTTTGAAATCTTTACATATAAATTTAAAAAATGAAAATATGTTTATATTTTTATAAATTATCATACATAGGAATGGCCTTACAGTAGAATAATAATGTATTTGTCAAGAGCATATATACCTGATACTAAAAAACTGAACATTCTGGATTTGGCATCTGACATAGAAGATATCATATTAATACAGGGCATGGCTACTGATCCACAGAAAAATGAATTATACAAAGGAATATGTTACATACCTTGTACAGTCAGGACATTAATCTTTCCGGTAAGCAAAAAATGCCAAGGTATACCATTTTCTCTTTTTTATTCCTGATGATAAACTGAGGTTGTAAATACAGTAGATGAATAAACCTACTGAAAATACTAAATATTTTATAACTCAAATGGCTAGTTACTCAGAGTAAGCATCAATAACCTAGTTTCTGATATGATATACTGTATTTTTGCAGGATGACATATAAAATTAATATAATAATTAAAATGTTTTCATTCATCAGTTTTATCAATAAATTAAGTTTAATTTTACAGGACAACCTAATTACACATTAGATTTGTTAAGCTGAATAGAAATAATTACGTTTGAAATTTTAAACTTTTATATTTAAAAGATTTATCATTCTGTTAATCTTAAGTGACAAATCATTTTCAACAGGTTAATTTATATATTTTTAGGAGTTTTCTGTAATTTTAAAATAAGATTAATCTGTAAAACTATAGAATTCCATGTACTAAAATTGTTGAAAGTATGTTTTCTTTCCAAATTTTAGCAAGATTGCAAAGTGAAACCATTGATAGTGTTGATTGGCAGTATAGATCCAAATCTAGATTGGTCAGGAGAAGCTAAATTAAGTCAACTTAAACAATCATCTATGACCTTGAAGAGCAGAAAGCGCCTATCTAGAATGTAAGAAGAATTGCCAATCATTATTTAAAATCAAGAAAAATTGTATAGAAGTTTACAAATGTAATATAAATTTAATTACAATATACAAAAATATTCTATAAATTGATAAAACATTAAAATGTTTTTCATTTTAAATTAATAAAAATTTATTTTACTTGTAAATTAACCTTCTAAAATATATATAAAGATTATCTACTTTTGAAAGAAGGCTAAAGCACTGTGTATATCATAAACTTTCTAAAGAGAAACAATTATGTAATTTCTATAAATGATTCTGTATTTTGGTTTCTGAACCATTGCCATGTTAGAGAATGTAGAACACTTGTCTTGCTCTCACAGTTGGCATGCTGGTCCAGGAAACTAAAAATGTACTAGTACTGTACATATTACAGTCAGCATGGGTGTATCCAGGAGTGCTTATGGTGCTACAGCACCTTCTTGATACCAGAACAATCATCAGTTTTATTATAGTTATTTTTATTTTAAAGTAACAATGACTTCAGTTAGGTAAGATTAACCAACTAAAGTACAATACTGTACTTCTAAGTCAACTGACAAATTGATTAAAACTCTGCAGGCTAATAGGGGATTAGTTACATGATAACTGTTTTTTCCTGCAAACTTTAAAATTCACAAGATATTTGAAGTTAACACTAAACTCTAAATATGTATCACCAAATAGTGATCATCAATGGGTGATAAATAGAATAGCAGCATTTATGCAACAATCAGGGTAAACTGATTTTGTAAAAAGGGTTCATGCCATGTTGTGGATTCAAATATATCAAAAAATAAAAAAATATTGAATCATATATACATTTCAGTTTTTGAATTTTTGATTAAAAAAATTTTAAAACTAACAAATTGTAAATAAATCTTCTCCAATACCTCATGCAAATGTTTCAATGTAAAAAAAGCAATCTTTCTTTCATATATAAACTCATGAAAATTTGTCATATTTAACCTGAAAAAAGCATTTTCTGCCATAAAAAATTTTCTACTTAACACTGCTTTAATTAAACTATTTATTTTAAAAAAAAGTAACAACTAAATATATCAAAAACTCTCATTATAAATGTTTTGTCTTGATCATTAAATACTATATTAAACCATAATGGTTTTCATCAGTGATAATCACTATTAATTAAATGACCTGTATTTACAGTTTAATACTTACTTTTAGCTTGTGTATCCCAAAATTTGCAAATAAAGGAGTTACCATGGTTATCATATAACTATTTCCTATTATCCTGCAAAGTTCTAACCCAATTAATTGGTCACATCTGAAAATGTTCCCTTGTAACATTCTCTGAAAAACAACAGGATATATATATGCCTTGGTCTCTCTCAAAATCCTGGATATGCCACTGACAGTTGGTCACCCCTAGTAGCAATGCAAGGGTTATTGACAGTAAAGCAATATATTCACGAAATTCTGCACTCTTGTGTGCTTTTCATGGAAAGGCTGCAAACAGCATTTTCCAGCAATGTAGTATTTGGCCACACACAGCCACATTTCCTTGGACTGTTTCCAGATTTATCACCAGTTTCAGTCATTGATAAGAATGAGGAATTTGCAGTGACAATTGCAACATCTGTGGTCCAATTTGTTGCAGGATATCTGTTTGCCTTTATGCTTGACTATATTGTCATGCAAGAGGAGATTGTATAAGGTTTCCTAATACACCTTAGACTGTCGTGGTCCGTTTGGAAAGCTGACACAGCTATGATGCCCATTGGTGGGACAGAGGCAGGTTCCTACGGATGCAACATCTCCCATACACCCTTGGACAGCAACACCAACAGTTTGGAGTGCCAACGCGGATATGATGCCCGTTTGTGGGACAGAGGAGGGTTCCTATGGATGCGACATCTCCCATACACACTTGGACAGAGACACCAACCGTTTGGAGTGCCTACGCAACTATGATGCCTGTTGGTGGGACAGAGGCGGGTGCCTATGGATGGAATACCTTCCTAATACAGCTTTTCTCAGTAAAGTCAAGATTTCTTGCAGGCCAGTCTGCTTGAATGTAATGTGATTTCCTATCCCTATTGTCCCAATACAGAAAAAGCAACGGTATTTAGTGTACCCCAGTTGCATTCCTAAGAGTACAGCGATGACTTTTAGACTGCCACATATTTTCCACTTGTGCTCATCATAATTGATTGAGTCAAGGAGGTCTGTCATGTTTGCATAAGTCTCCGCCATGTGAACAGCATGACCAACAGGAATAGAAGGAAGATGGTTGCCATTGTGAAGTAACACAGCTTTCAAACTAAGCTTGGAGGAGTCTATAAATAGCTTCCATTTTAGCTTGGAACATGATTAAAATTCAAACATTTCATCAAGCCATTATCATTGTAGCAAACAACCAGATTGTTTTTCTTCTAAAAAAAGGGAAGCAGATCCCTGTGACGTTCTCTGTACTGTAAGACCCTGATATCACATTGGAGAAGATTCCATTGCTGTAGTCTTGAGTCTAGAAATGCTGCCTTCTGTTTTGACAAGTCTAGGTCTTGAATGAGCTCACTCAATTCCATTTGACTCAGTCTGTGCGGTGTATCATCTTTTACCTCAAAATCAGGGTCATGAGATGTTGAAGGCTTGTAAGGTTCTTCATCTTCCACACTGTCTTCATTTTCTACTTCAAGCTCATAATGTTTAGGTTGAGTAGGAACTGGTAAACTGTCTGAATGTGGAATAGGTCGAATAGCAGGTATAAGATTTGGGTATTGAACCGTTCCTTTTCTTCTTCTTTGACAATCCTGACTTTATAGGTGGAATCAAGTAGAAATGGCAGTCATCTATATGGTTTGTAGGCTCCCGCCAAACCATAGGCACAGCAAAAGCCATAGATCATTTTTTATTTTTCAGCCATTCTTGTAGTATAAGTGGACAACAGTTGCAACACATATGTGGAGCCCATGACTTATCCTGGTCCCCTTCATACCAAAATAATGGTGAAAGGCAGTCTTTACGAGAGGCGTCAGATTGCATTTGTGACGAAAATGTTATTTTACCACAAATTTAACCAAAATTGTTCACTAAATTAACACATTTTCGTGGCATTTTGGTATAACCAGTATAATATTACACTTCAAAAGCACTCTAAAAACCAGAAATTTGACTTGACCAAGCAAGAGTACTACTAACAAGTAAGAGTGAGATATTCTACAATTGTTCAAAGAAAAACAGTCATAAAATCTATTTATAGTGTAGTGGCATTTTTCCTACAACAGTGTAATAAATGTATACCCGTTGTGAAGTCGAAAACTTGATAATTGCAACCAGATGTTCTGTTCTTTATAAATGTTTTTATATGTATAATAATTTTATACAAAAATAAATGAAATATCTTATATCAGAAAAATATAAATTCTATAATAGAGTGTAGTTTTATTATATGTTGATCTGAGAAGTTTTACAGGAAAAACACCAACAAAAATTTGAAATAATTGAAGATGCACTATTTTGTAATGAAACATTTTTTTTATAGATTTTACTATAAAACCTTTCTCATATATTTTGTATTATTTAGCTTATGTCAATCATTTTAAATTATAATTTAAAATGAATAAAAGTTTTAAATCTTTCGCGGACCATATTTTAGCTCTTGCGGACCACTGGTTGGGAACCGCTGCTCCAAAGCAAGAGCTAATTGGTCATTTTTATAGTGATTTTTGAATTCAGCAGATGAAAATACATAAGAATATGCTAATTTTGAGCCCAAAACAAAATCATTGTTGTCCAGTTTTATCAATTTTTATGGTGAATCTAAAAGTAATTTAAAACAGAAGTGAGTAAAATACAAATTCAAATATCCAAATTATTAAAATCTAATATAATTTATTTTGAATATTACATTTTATGCCTCTTCTACTGCAGCTTTCACTTCTTCTTGTTTATTATTTTCTTCTTGTATGGTAAGAAAGCTTTTCACATCACCATATTTTGCAATTAAATCAATTCTAACTTTATCATGGTTGCGACGAAATTGCGTTTTCTTCAAATACCTTTCCCAAGAAGGAAGGCGTGTATAAAAAGGTGGCTTTTCTGGACGTATTACTTGCACTCTACCCTCAGACATATACAAGTCAAAATCTATCTCTTCGTCTGGAAGAATCTCTTCTTCGGTCCGACACCTCTCTGGCGATGCAATCACCCTAGGAAAATAATCTGTTTCTTCCCGGAACTCAACAATATGCAGACCTTTTTCTTTCGCTATCTGCTGATGTGTTTTCTATTAAAAAGTACATGTGTTTATAAAATAGTAAACTTTTAAATAAATATAATAATTAATCTATAAATACTTGTTTTTGAAGACCCAAAAAGAATGCTTTCACCATGGAAAGAACACATCTGGATCCTTCTCTTTTAACTTCAATATCTGTTATTCCAACCACTTCACAGATACTGCGGAGTACTCTGTGGCACTGAAGACCATAACCTAAAACATAATGTACACATTGAAATAATATATTGCCCTTAGCCCTTAATTAATACTATTTAACAATTAGTCTAAATCAACAAGACACATTTTGATAATAAATTTTATATCCATAAAAGCAGTATACCAATGGGTTCAGTTATAGGATCAATATTGGAAGAATTAAGTATGATAGACATAGACACATCTATAAATAACATAAAAGGTATAAAATTCTATAATATGTATGCAGATGATTGTTTCATTCTGTATAATTGTGATGAATTAATCCTAAATGTTTGTTAAATATAATAATAATTTAGATTATAACTTAAAGTTTGAAATAGAAGAACAAAATAATAAACTGACTTTTTTTGATAGGTCAATGTTAAGAAAACTTAATTCAGTAATAGTACAAAAATATTAAAAAATGTGTAATGTCAGTAAAGTGATGGATTATTATTCTTATTCCCCGATTTACATGAAAAGAAATATTTTTGCTAATTGTATCAAAAAGATTGAGAATAGAATTACATTAGAACAAGATAAAAAGAATGAAATTGTTCATGTTTTTAAAATGTTTTTATTAAATAATTATTAGTGTTGCAACGAATAGTATATTCGGCCTCAGGCCAAATACCGAATATTCGGCCAGGAGCACGGCCAAATAGCCGAATATTCGGCCATACTATTAGGCTTGATTAATTAATTAATGCACGTATGAAAATTGGCACGCAAACCGCATTATGGCAAGGACCCTGCTCTCTATTGGCCCACTGTCACTACGTTTCGCCAATCGCGTTAATTCTTGACAGTTGAAGCGAACAGACACGAGCGTCATGGCAGTATGTGATAAGTGATATCATCAAATGTGGATAACGATGAAATGACCTACAGGTGTAAAATAATGGAAAAAGAAGAGAGAAGGACTGCAAAGTGAAAATGTGAAAATAAATATGAAATTGAGTTGATAACATAATCAAACAAGTCAAGGCAGCTTATTGGCACGAAATTCGCGGCCATCAATGCCAAACAATTGTTGTCATAGACTTCGGAAAGCTAAATGCTTGTAATGAAAGAAGTCACTTAGCGTGCACAGGCGAAAGCCTGGGGCCGTTCAGGCTATCAAGCTGTCTCGAATCTGTGAAATCATAACTGTGACTTATACTGACATCTTATCTGTCGCTTTTCTCCATTATCACCAGGCTACGAGTCACATAATTATAAAATGGAAAAACGACGACGGAAAAGTGATGAATCGAAAGTATCGTGAGCACGTATTATGATGTATGCATAGGCATGCATACGTGGACTAGAGAGATGGAGGAAAAAGAAAGGAAAGAGCAAAGACAAGCAGTTAAAAAGGATAGGCATGGTCAGACCCTCACATGTGTGCGACGATTCTCGAACAAATAGGTGTGTACGTGTGCTGATCTTTGTAATTATAAATTGTGAATACATGTGACTAATATTATTTTCTTTTTTATTTTGTGCATGTTATAAGTTTTAAATAAATATAAACAAACAACACTAACCCAATAACATTAAATCTAAATACCAAAATGATTAATTTACTGTGTTTTTGTTATTTCTTACTCCTGTTTTTAGGTATTCTGTATTCGGCCGAATAGTGATTAAATATTTGGTATTCAGCCGAATACCAAATAGTAACCGAATATTCGTTACATCACTAATAATTATCCAAAGAAACTTCTTGAAAACTGGCTTAAACACATATTTGAAAAAATTAACAGTATTAATACCAAAGATGTTAATGAAAGGGATTCAAATTTTAGTAAAATGTTTTAAATTGGCATTTGTTAAAAATATGTTCGAAAAAATAAAAAATGAATTAAAAATGTTTAATATTGTATTAGTCCCAAATCAATGTAATAAAGTACAAAAACATAGTGTGTTGAATAATGTATAAAAAAATATAAATGATTTAGAAAAAAAATAATGTAGGTTATATTTATATTTTTTTGTTTCTCCTACATATATCATTTTTTCAGCACAACTACAATTAAAAGTATGAGTTAAAGAACATATAAACACATTAAAATATAATATGCATAATTATAAAGGATGTGAAATAGTAAAAGACTCAATAAAGGCAATAAAATATGAAACTAATGCAAAAAAAAAATACTACAAACATATGAAAATTTTTAAAAGTAAAAACAGAAAAAAGAATTAATGGCAATTTAGGAGTGGAATTAGATACAGGATGGTATGACTTTATTGATGATGATAAAAAGAAATTAATAATTAATGACGCAGTAGTTGGTGACACATGATGTGTGTAAATATACAAATTAGTTGTAGTGTTCTAGCAGTAATAGTGTGCAACATTAATGCAGTGTTTCAGTATTGTCTTAAGATGTTCAAGTCAGTTCAACCAATGTGAGTATATATCCATCACTTTACATTTGTATTACTTTAATTATAGATATAGTAATTTTGGTAAATTGTATTAGTGTTCCAAGGCTAAGAAGTGATGAATTGTGAAACTATTACATCCATGAGACATCACTTGTGATGATTATGAAGTCGTCATGTTTACAGCAGTCTTTTAAACGTATTTGTAATTTATTTTTATAATTTTATATATATGAACACCAATTGAAGAGGGACTGTTTATTATGTCTGAAATGCATTTGAGTGTTCTATATTATGTATGATACATGTTTATTGTAAATTTTTATTATTAAGGTGTTAATAATCATTAAAGAATTTGTTAATCAATCTCATTCACTGGTGTGATAAGCCCATATGTATATATGTACAGTCGACCTCCCTATAACACAGTAGATACGTTCTAGTTTTTATGAATCCATTTTCTACGAGTCCAGCCAATCATAGCTATGCAGTTTACAGACTATGGCTGTTTGAAAGGTTTCTTCCATAAATTTAATTGATTCTAGACTAATTCGACTCAACATTTCCAAAATACATATAATTTTTTGGGAATAATCCATATAAACTATGCTATAAACAAAAAATTGNTAGTAATTTTGGTAAATTGTATTAGTGTTCCAAGGCTAAGAAGTGATGAATTGTGAAACTATTACATCCATGAGACATCACTTGTGATGATTATGAAGTCGTCATGTTTACAGCAGTCTTTTAAACGTATTTGTAATTTATTTTTATAATTTTATATGTATGAACACCAACTGAAGAGGGACTGTTTATTATGTCTGAAATGCATTTTGAGTGTTCTATATTATGTACAGTACCATGTTAAAGGAGTCACAGTTTATTGTAAATTTTTATTAAGGTGTTAAATAAATTTTCTTTTTTATTTACTTTTTTAATTTACTTATTACTTATTACTTTTAAATACAGTACAGTAATTGCATTTATGATATTTATAGTTCATGAAACTTAAAATGCACATTGCTTGATGTACTCAAAATACAAAAATAAACAAGTTTCTTCATTATCTGAAAGAACCCTAGTTTCATAAAGTTCAAGTAATCAAGTTTTCACTGTATATACATATAAAATCAATTTGAATAAAACAGTATTTTTATAAATTATTTAACAGCAGAAAAATCATTAACTGATATACTTTTGAGATGCTAGAACACTTTCGCAATAAGCAACTCCACACCTTCCATACTCTTTCCAGCAAAAATTTTTATAGAACAAATGTTTTTGGCCTGTTTAAGAGGTTTGCATCAGGTTTTCCAACTATTCTAAAATCAAATGTTCTACAGCATATTCCAAACTGGAATGTTCAAACAATGTGACTTTTAGTTTGGAATATGCTGTAGAACATCCAATTTTAGAATAGTTGGAAAACCTGATGCAAACCCTTTAAACAGGCCAAAAATGTTTGTCCCATAAAATTTTTGCTAGAAAAAGTATAGAAGGTGTGGAGTTGCTTATTAAAATCATTAACCAATTTAAAACTCACTCTTAAAAATGATTTTAATATAAACTTACTAAGTAAAGATATTGATTATTTTTATTTCTATTAATTAATTTTAATTAAAAATGAGTAACTTGTCAATGAGAAGCACCAGCATACTGTGCAACAGTCTCCATTACAAAAGAGACTAATCCAAATAATGCTTTTTAACCATAAGTAAGAGATGAAAATGACAAAAAAAATTATATCATCTCTATAAATCTTTGTCAGTAAATGTAGTTTTATAAAAATTTTTAATAGGATATTTTCATGTAGTAGTTAATTTTAATAATAGGCCTAAGAAAATCCAATAATAAATTTACTCTTCTTTATAATAAAAAATTTAATAATTTTGGAAAAAACAAATGATTGGCAAACTGCATTTGGGTTCAAATTATACTATCACACTTTGTCTTTCCAGTATAATATCTTTAAAATACTAATGTTTTAGTCATGTTGAATGGCTTTTTTCAGGTAATATTAAATCCAAAAGGATTTATCTATGAAAAAATGTTTCAAAGAAAATTTAACTTTTTTAATTAAAAAAAATTCTGGACACTTTTTATATTTGTGTTAATGAAATTTATTTAAATAGCATTTAAACTAATGTACATTAATTACATCTATGAGTGTAACGGACACTTTGTACTGTACATGTGATTGGTCGAGTTGCCAGTGGCACGAAGCTATTGTTCGTGGGATTATGACTAAACGTCCCTAAGGCAGAAGACCCCTAACCGCGGAAACGGAAGGTTGCCAGAGAAATCCTGCGCAGTACGAGAGGAACCGCAGGGTCAGTCACTTTTTGGTTTGGTCTCTGGTTGTGAGGACGTTGAAGTGCGAGAAGCAAGAAGAACGAACGTATACCCCAGAATAGATTTGAACCTTGGGGTACGGACTCATCACTTTGAACTTGTACCTGGCTAAGATTCCCGTTAGCCGTAACAATGAGTAAATATTTATAAAGTTTAATAATGTTTATTTATTAATCTAATGCTATAAGGCATTACTTAATTAATAACAAAATAATTTTTTGACTTATTAAAATCTTATGCATGCAAATGAAATTTATAACTAATTTAGAATTTTTGATTTGTAATTAAATTATAACAAAATAAGAAAATAATATTCAACTTAAATTTTATTTCTGAAAATTAAACAACTTGTTTGATATAATATAAAATTTATCTATCAATTTAATTCAATTCATTTTATCAATTATGTTAAATGGAGTTCTTATAATTTTACAAGTAATGGATTTGTTGATATGTTCACAATCCTCCATAACTATCAATCAACTTATAAAAACAATAAATTCTAAGTAACTAATAGTATGAAAATTAGATTATACAGAACAAATAATTGATTTTAACATCTAATATAATTTTAGAAAAATTTATAACATATCAATCACAATACAGTAATTTCACATTAATATAAATTGCTAGGGGAACAGCAGTTAGTTCACTTTATCAGGTTTGTATTAACAAATTTCAGAGTCAAGGTCAAGGTTGTATAATTTAAGGCGGCTTAACAGATTATTACATTTTAGAGATTTCGACTGAGTATTTTGAATTAATTTATTAAATAAAGTTAAATAAAATTAAATTTATCAACAAAAACAAATTCTAAATGATTTTTCAAATCAAACAAAATGAGGAGAAGACAATATTTGCCATTAAATGAGTCAACTATATATCATATTCATGTTTAATTGAGTTTCTTAATGAAATAGCTGATAGCACTAAAACCTTCACGTTTTACACTCAGCATATTGTTTATATTTTAAGATATCAAATAATTTTGCATCTAGAAATTTTTATAAATTTATCTGAATCATATCCTGATATGCTATACTTGTATTAAAAAAGATAAATTAATAATATTACCTTTGGGTTTCTTTGAGACGTATAACTTTACAGGACCAAATCTTGTGAAGAAATCATGACATACTAAAAAGAAAATATAAAATTATATTCAATGATTACTTTATTACAGTAAAATCTCAATTTAATGGACTTTGGATTTAACAGAAAAAATATCCAGTCCTTATGTCATATGTAAAAATTAACATCCTGATAATTTTAAAATACTTTTTGTATATAATTAAATTAATTTTATATGTACTTTTATTCTGAACACAAAATATTTAAGAGAGTTGTTTAGGGTAAGTTCCTCATTAGTCTACAATTGAAATTTCAAAAATTATTTTTGTTCACAAGGATCAATTTTTTCCCATTAAGAAACACTACACTAACCAGTTGGAATTGGCTATCATATGATGTAAAAAAACAAATAACTAATTAAATTAGTTATTTGGATTATTTTCCTTCATTTGTTCTTGATAATTTTATGGCAATTAAACATAATTAAAAACATTTTATAAAGATTTAATATAAGAATTACATTACGTATTCATAATGGAATTTTAAAAACTATTTGAAAGAATTTTTATGTATAATGTGGAAAATGTAAAGTGATTATAACATTTCAGCATTATTTGAAAAAATGAAAGAATATTTTCAAGCTTAAAATAAGGAATTTTTTAAATCTGAATGAATCATTCAGATCATTCACATAAACTCATCACTAAGAGAAATGTATTTGCTTTTAATTTTTGTTTTAAAATTCAATAACTTGTTTTATTGTTAATTTTATATTTAAAACAATTAATTGCGCATTAATGCAAATTTTAATTTTTTGAAATAGTCTGTTCTTCCATTCTAAATTAGTGTTATGAAACTAAACTGTTATGCAGTGAGGTTTATATGGATGAAATAATGAGACTGTGCAAACATACACTTAGGAGTAATAATTTCATATATTCAGTATAGGCTTTCTCAAATGGAATCCGAGTTGTTTTTTTAACCCAGGAAATCCTGCAAATTTCTTAAAAGTTCACTTTTTTCTTATTTTGTGTTAAGGTTGAGGAAATTTTGCAAATAGAAAGTATAAACTCATAAACTGTCATAATACATTTGTATTTATTAATTTTAAACCTACTTATTAGTTTTTTAAATTTTTGCTTGTTATGGCATGTCACAAATGGTCAATAATCAATATGTAGCTTATTTGTGGCAGGACTCTGAAAATTTATATCAACTGTCACACCATTAATATGGATCTACATCCACGCATGCATGGCATGGCATCATAACATGGAAACAATATTTATAAATTTTGTTCACCTGACAATGACAAACATATGTTTGTTGAAAGCACTAACAGTAAAAAAACTATTAATTATGCCGTACTTAGTGAGTTTTCATTCCTGCAATACTGTAGTTATAATTAGGTATAACTTTGACGTCATATTTCTCACTGCATAGTAACTTTTCGGACAACCTGTACACAATCATTTAAGAAATTATTTAAAATTAAATATTTACCAGTATGCTCTTCAAATCTTTCCACAAATCTTAATCTCTGTGCAGCTCTATTTATTCCCTAAAACAGATAAATTTCATTAAACACTATTTAATTAAAAAAACACAATATAAATTATATCTTTTTATCATATCTATACCTTTTTAATTGCTGCTTTTGCAAGAGGAAGTTTGACTAAAGCAAAACCTAAGAAATAAATATTTTTGTTGTTATCTATTTGCATCTAAATTTTATAAAAAGTGACAAAACTAAAATCACCTGCTACGCCATTTCGGTTTCCTGTAACTGCAAGAATACTAAAACTTCGTTTTCTACCTAAATTTCCAGTCATGTGTGCCACAATTTTGCTCTGAAAAATTAAAAAATTATCATTTCTTTTTAAGGAAAAATTTATATTCATAAACATTTTCTGATAACTTGATTTAATAACATTGTTTTAAAGTTAAAACAAAAACTAATTGCTAATTCTATCAGGTTGTAATGGTTTAGATATTTTGAAAAACTTAATTGACAATTAACAACAATTACAGTTTAGTCTGGTAGGTAATCACCACCAATATCAATCACATCTCACCACCTTTCTTGCAAACTTTCAATCCCCCAAGCATAGAATGACTGGGATTTTTCTTTGAAGAAAGTTTTGAGCATGGATATTGTCATTGAACTGTATATTGGCAATATGGTTCTGCAGAGTGTGAAATAGATGGTAGTCAGTTGGCACCAAGTCTTAGCTAAACAGTAGATGAGGCAGAACCTCTCAGTCCAGACTGCTAGCTTCTCTAAAGTCATGTTTGTTCTACGTGCTAGTGCATTGTCTTGGTGGTATTGGACTTTGTCAATTTTTGGACAAAGTCCTTTGATTTTTGTGTTCAAATGACATACTTGTTCATAGTAATTCTTTAATGACAATGATATTGGTTGGAAGCAGTTCCATCATGATAAACCAATAAAATGCAGATCATCACTTTCTTCTGCACTATCAGCCCTTTGAAATTTGCAAAAATTGAATGACTTTGTTCACCCATAACACTTTAACAAATACTTTGCAAAGAGCCTTTGTTGCATTTTGGCCACTTTTCAAATGATAAGAGCAACAGCACACAAATGTGTTCTTTTGAAAGTTTCATATTATCAGACATTACTGATGTGTTTATTTCCAATGAAATATGTGATGAAATTCCCTTTAGTTATATTACTTATATACCCACATTAAACATTCTAGAGCATTTTTCTTTTTGCATTTGAAGTGTCTAAATTTCACCTTTACAATCTGATAAATGCAGTAATTTTTTAACATAATACATACTGTATTTGCTTATTTCTTATTCAAAATAACCTTTCAGCTAATTATTATTAAAATGTTAATACCCTGAATCTATTAGGCATGAATCTAAATATATAAAATTACATGTCCTGACTGACTGACTGATTCATCATCGTCCAGAGCAAACTGCTAAACCTAAAGAGATGAAATTTGGTACGCAGTTAGGGTACGTCATGAAAATGCACACTAAGAAGGTATTTTTTGAAATTCCCCTGCTGGGGAGAGGGAGAGAATTAAGGCTTAACCTGAAGAACGGCTTCTACTGTACTATTTTAGATGCGATTTTTTGTTTTTAACGTTTTCGTACAGTATGCAATGAGAGTGTACACTAAGAAAAGATTTTGGGAAATTCCCCCGCAGTGGGGAGAGGGAGGGGATTAAGGCTTAAAAAGTCTTAGCCCCAAAAGGTAGTACCACATATGCGGTTTACAAAGAGGTAATGGGCTAACTGAAATTCTATTTTTCTGTAAATATTTATACTTTAGGAATTTTCAGATAATGTCATTTATGTTTCGAAAAAAAAATTAAACTCAGATTTATCGTATCTCAAAATTCCATAGTATCTGTAACTTGAATTTAAGTGCAATTACAGTCCATAGTTTGAAACAAACAAAAATCAGTAATTTTACCAAATTAGTAACAACTAATGATTGAGAATCTTAGTGAAGTACTGAGGGAGGGTTATTTCTATCAAATTGCAAAATCTGCATCTATATCTCTATATCTAAAATCTATATCAAAATATACAATCAATTCTACAGATCTATTAGAGTAACATGCAATTGAGTAATGCTAATTTTAATTATCCAATCAAAACTAATCAAGCATTCATCCAATTTTGATGATTTTATCCAATGAGGTTAAATTTTGGTGGTTAAAAGTTAAAGATGTGGGGAGATACAGTAGATAGGGTCATATGTCATATTTCAAGTAGGGTCAGACTTAATGAAGATTTTACTCGTTATTAGTTAGTATTTACAATTTTTTATAAAACTCATCTCTACCCTAAAATTAAGCTTTTTGCTGTTTTGTAATAATTAATAATATAAGATTTTTATAAAATATCATAATAGATAGCACCATACACAATTTTAAATGTTTTTTGCTGGAAAAGTTATGCAACTCATTGTTGAATTTTTTATATATCACTCACTCAACTCTTCAAAATTAATATCTTAATGAGTTTCATTCTGGGCCAATTCTTTTCTTCCAGAAATTTCTAAATTAATTTATTATAATTACTAAAATTAATACAAAATGGAAACTTAACCACCTACCATTAGTCAAATTAATAATTAATGTAGTCAAAAAGTTGCCTGATAATATCAGTAAGATCATTTGGTTTTACAATTATTATTATATAAAATCTGTAGTTAATGTAGTTCAGTGTTTTCCAACCATATTTGTGCTATGCCCCACCTAACCTTTCTAATATTCTTATGCCCCCCTAACATATACAGCGACTATATGGTTAACTTAAACTCTGGATGAGTCCATTTTCGAATTGCCCCCTTAACAATCCAATTGTTCCCATGGGGCATGGGTCCCATGTTGGGAAACACTGGTGTAGTTATTATATATATTATATTTTTGTATAATATATGTATTACATTACATATTACAAAAAATATAATGAAATATGTCATATAATAAATGTAACATGTAATATAATAAAAAAGACAATAAGAAATTTGATAGAGAACATTAATTATGAATTATTTTTCATTTTTATAGTAAAAAATGTAATTTATTTAATCAAATTAAATATTTCATTTTTTAAATAAGCTTTTATGGAAAGTGAAAAATTTTTATTTATTTATTGTTAAATAAAAAAATATTTCGATATAATTATGTATAATTATTTCTTTCATCAATTTTTATTAATAAAAATTATGACAGATAACAATTATAATAGTATTACTTTGAAGTAAATTATTATATTCAGATTTATTTTCAAAACACAAAGGGACATTAAATGAAAGTAACTTTGTGTACAATTCAATAAGAAATATTTTCATATTGCTTGTTGAATTTAAAATATTTAAATATTTTCATTACTGATGGCTTGACTAAATATATTTTTATATTCTTACCTCTAATATAATACTTTCAAAGTCTTCAAATTTTTCTAAACGAAAAAAAAGTTATTTCAATAAGTATTTAAAATATAATTTATTGGCAACAAAATGTATTTGTATCAAGCATTGTTAATTGATCAGTTTGAACTGAATAATCCTCAGTATATTTAAAAATTTATATAATATCACTTGTTAAAGAAACTTAAATTTATTTATATAAGCAAAAAATAAATACAGTAGAGNAGAATGTTAAGAAAGGAAAATTTGAAATTGTAAAATTAGTGTAAGAAAATAATATTGCTGATATTTTTACCAAGGCATTAGGAAATGTCAAATTCATTAAATATAGAGAGATGCTAAATGTAAAAGAATAGAATATAAGATGATAAGATGTGTGAGATTAAGATAATTTGTTAATTAATAGTGCTGTCAACTTGGATGTTACTTTTCTTGTGTTTAACTATTTTGTGTTACAATATAAATGTAAGGAGGCGTGTTAATTATTGTACATTTATATTGTTAATTATTGTACAGCTATATCTGGCAACACTGGCAAAAGTGTTCTGTCGTCAGAGGTTCGTCAATTTGAAATGTTGTAAATAAGTTCCGCTAGTCAGTAAAGTTAAGTAATAAAAGAACAAAAAAAAAACGAAAGGTAATGCTTCATTTTTTGTCTTAACAGCATGTAACCCTCAATGTACTACCTACAAATAATCAACATAACCCGCAACACTATATACTTGGCAAAAAGTTTTTAAAACAAACTAAAACTTCTGTATAACCAGTCTCACCATATACCTTATAGAAATAGCCATTGCTACACACATGTAAGGTTTGCTGACTGTGTAATTGTTGGGATGGTTGAGAAGTCAAAACAATTGTGCATGGACGTGAAATATACACTGAGACAGGCTTACCATTCATTGTTTCCCATTTAATAAAATATTAAAAGTTTTCTTACAAAAGTTTCTGTATTCTTGTCATACAATTCTCAAGAAGGGAGTCCAATAAAGTCTAAATGTCCCATTGGATGTCCTAATAAATATAAAACAAACACCTTTCTCTATTCCAGCACACTTTTAATGCTTTGAATAACATTTTCGATCGTTTTAATCGATGTCCTAATTGATAGTCTGAGAGATCGACAGCCCAAGGACTTGCTGTTAAGCTTTGGATATAACAGATCTTGGAGAAAGAAACAACTCTGGGAGATGCAAAAGAATCCCCAAATTCTTTTGCATTTCTTGACATTTCAAGGTCCTGAGTCCAAAAATGTAAAAATCTGGAAGAGTCATTTTTTGCCATACTTTTCCTCTGTTATATAAGCAACAAAGCTAAGAAAGTAAAAGTGAATGGAACACACAGAAAAAATAGCAGTTCTCACTTTTAGCCACACTTTCTGTACAGAGGGGACACATGTTCTTTCCTTCAACAAGATAGATTTGGTCTCATTCAACAAGCTAGAAATGTGCTACAAAGATAGGAGGAAGTGACCAGAACTGCTGAACATTTGTCACCTTCTGTTCTTCTCTGGTATATTTGCAATATACCAGAGAAGGAACAGAAGATGACAATGTTCAAGGTCAATTGCATTTTTCTCTTTTTTATTGTGTTGTTGTGGAAAGATAGGCAAGATTCGATTCGTGTTCCATCTGTATCGTTGTCCCATGTTGTATATTAAGTTAATAGTCATATAATGTTGTTTTTCTCTTTTGTACCAGTAAACAAATCTCCTTTGTCTGCAAATCAGTCTCTTGGCTTCTTCACTTTGTTCCTGAACATCTGAATTATTCCCCACACCCAATCCTAAATATCAGTGCCGGCCCGAAGCAAGTTTTAGGATGGAGCGAGATCCTATTATGGCGCCTTGGGGTGGCGCCCTGCCCACGCACTCGACCCACGCGCGTTTCAACAGATAAGGCCATTCACATACTGGCCACACGCTTGCAATTAAAATACCGAAAAATGAAAAAAATATTTTTTCCTTTAATTTTCTTTACCACTGAGGCGCCCCCTAGGACTTAGCGCCTGGAGCTGCTGCTCCGTTTGCCCTATGGTAGGGCCGGCTTTGCTAAATATGCAGTCAGTAACCTAGGCAATGGGCCTTGACATTGTGCTTACCATATAGATACATTATGTTAATAGTTATGCAATCTAGTTCATCATCTTCATTTCTAGTCTTATGATAAGTTAAATGACACAACAATACAAATTAATTATTGCCAGTTAACCTGTATGATTGATTGGAGACTGTTTATTGACTTTAATAGACTGTAATCACAAAGACATCACACAAATTGCAGTATGAAACATTTAATGTGAGCTGAGTACAACTACAAAAAGAAAAACATTACATCAACAAACATTTGCTGCTGTGTATCTGTAAAGTTAAGATTTTTAAATCTGAACTTACAGATATGTGACAGTGCTCAAGGCAATAACAGAGATAATTAAATGCATTGCCTAAAAATCTTGCATTTAGATAAGTTGGATTATGTTTATTGTATGTCTGTATACATGTCTATGATACATGAACAAATTTGAATAACAATGTATTTTAAGCATAAGTATTGTAAATAAAGATATCAAACTATACTTTAAAAAAATATGTATCTTAAATTTTCATCATCATATTAGAAATTCTTGATTTTATTTAATATAAAATTCAATTAATATTTAATTTAAAAATCAATACACTAACCTTCACCAATAGGATCTGGAGGTCCAAATTTCCTGCCAGCTATCTTATTTCCACTATAACCTCTTTCTAAAGGTTGTATTTTCAATCTTCTAAAATTACTCATTTCATTTCTAATTTTAAGTATATTTTCAGCATATTCTTTGTTTTCTGGTAGTTCTCTTTGTTCGACAATTTCTTTTCCTCTAAAAACTGGAGCATTTAAACCAGGCCAAATCATATTCTTCTTTCCTTAAAACAATAATGAGATAGTTTTAAAATTTCACATTTTTTAAAAATTTCAATGTTTTATAAATTACATACCAATTCCTATAATTTGTCCTTTATTTAAGTCTTTTGCAAATTTTCTTCCACTTCCTCTACCTCTTCCTTTTTTTCTTCCTGCATTACTAACACTTGTCACTCCTTTCCATAACTGTTCTGCTGTGACTGATGGTTTTTAAATAAAAAATTAATTAATAAAATACAAAATATTTATTACAAAACATCTATTATAATTTTATAAATCCTAGCCTACAATTTGATTAAATTTAATTTGCTAATTAATCACTATACTGGATGATCAAACAAAAAGCTATTTGTAAGCATAGGACTGTGATAAATATGATTAACTAGCCAAATTTGCTATTGTCTTGCTTTATGTTGTGAAAAATATTTAAATCTTAAACATTTATTTACTGTAGACTCAACAGTTCAACAACATTTAAAACCTTATGCAGACATCACCAAAGCTACTCTTCACAAGTAAATTTTTATGTTTGATCACTTTTTAATACATGTAATAATAAAACTAAAATTACAAAAGACAACTTTATGCTTGTTAGATTTATTTTTGTTTTATTCAAAATATAGACAAAATATGGTATTTTTCTGTTTTATCTCAACTATTTGTATCACATGTTGCATTCTGATGTGATGTTACACTCTGAGATTGCAAGCTATTGTGTTGCTTATGAAATGGCAAAGATTAATCACATTATGATTTAAAATGAGGAATTTAAAGTGTGCAAAAATTAAAATCTAAGTAACAATTATTTGTTTCTAAAATTTCAAAAATATATTTTACTTTTATATTTAACTAGCTGCAAGGACCCGCTTCACTGGGTTTTTATTTGTTCGTACATTTCTATGTAACATAGTTTTTTTTTAAATATAAAAGACTGTTTTTCTAAGTAATCTAGAATCTAGCTGCAAGGACCCACTTCGCTGGGTTTTTATTTGTGGGCAAAAAGTAATGATAGTGAAGATTAAGATAATTACATTATAGCCAATCTTACCCGTTTTCACAAAATGCAAGAATTAGGTCTCCCGTTTCCAGACGTTTGCAGAGAATTTTTACATGAGCATAAAAATATGTTCGATTTCCCGCAAAAGCGCAAAAAACCGCTTGTAAATCTTGCATGCCGCTTTATATTAACACTTCCTGGTCCCGATTCTATTTCTGAATGTCTCCTGTTCACGTCCAGTCAAACAAACTATTTTCAACGTTTCTGGAACGTTTACAATCGTTCTATAATCGAACCAATATTTGAATTTTATGTTCGAATTTAAGTCGAATATTGTTTGAATTAAATTTGAACAAATTTGAAGAAAACATTCGAAATAGAAAGCCACTTTCAACCACTTTCAAGCCCATATCTCCCGCACGCTTATAGCTATTGAGACATAACCCCCTGGTGCACGAATGGAGACTGGGGCTACTACCACATACAAACACCATTCACATGCGATGTGTAGTTTTGGCAAAAAAGTGAAATATAGGGACATACATGCCCATTTATATATATATATATATATATAGATATTGCCATTAATTACTTTTAAGATAAAATTTGGTATGCAAATTAGTCCACAGCATTTCAGGTTAAATGTACTGTTGAAGAAAATGATGTATTTGTTACTATATTCAGTTTGTATAAAAATGATAATCTTGTTTGTATTTTGCAGAAATATGGTATATTACATTCTCAATGTTTTTCAAAAGGATAATAAAATACAGTTATGCTAACAAAGGAGAACTCAGCAGTCTTTAATCACTGATTTTATGAGCATGTTTTGTTCACTCATATTTATACTATACCAAAGCCACTTGTCACTATTCACATATTCATGTTTGCTCAAGAATAAGGCACTAAAATTTTTCCAAGCACTATTAATACCTTTACAGAAAAATATTCTTTTTAAGTTGTCAGCATAGCAGTCCTAATTAAAACTGTATGGTGTTTATGATACTAAATTTGATTCCAGACAAAAAAATTTTTAGTGATACCTTGTACTTTGAATGACTAACTTGAACACTTGAATGCTGAGTTCGACAAAAATTTGCCTCAGAGTTTGAACAATGCTTCAAAGTTTGAACTGTGTGTAAAGTGAAAAAATGCACTCTAAGCATGAACATAATCTGTTGTGTGTTCAAGTTGTTTCTCATTCTTGCTCTTGCATTATGCTTGTATGCTTTTGGTACTTTTCTCGCTTTATTTTTGGTGTGTATAGTTATGTAAACTATATTGTCTGTTATTCATTGATTTTTAACAATATATTCCTGTAATTTTTCTTTGTCAACAGCTTTTGGGATCCCCACATTTTGCATCCCTTAGTTCAAAATTGCCCAAATGGAACTTTTTAAACTATATTTGGCATGTTTAAAGTTTAGGAATATCTTCTCCATAAACACTACAATTTTTTTTACTATTTGTAAGGCATTATATCCTTTTTGAAATTCATAAAGCATAATATGCCCAATATGTTTTTTTCTCCAAAGATATTATAATATGATTTTATTCAAACAAAATGTGAAATAAACAATTTAAGATAAGATTCTAAACAAGAAATAAAACTTCACATTACCTATACATTAAATTTCACAACTATTCTAATTAAATCACACATCAATGTTAAAATGCTTAAGTCCAGGGTATGCTACCAATAAATGTAATTTTCACTTTTTTTACATGATATATATGTATACTATTTATTGCCTTTGTGCTTTTATTATTATGGCATTTAATTGTGTTATTTTTTCCTTAAATTGTATGTATTTGCTGTTTAAGTTCATCGAAATGGGTATTGTTCAGGGTCTGCAAATAGATTAATCCACTTTCCAATATTTCTAATAGGAAAAATTGTTGTGATTTTTTTTTTTTTGATTCTGGTGAAACCGTGTTTTAATTTAATTTGCTTTATTCAGACACAATAACGTGACTCCTTTTAAACACTTGGCAGATTATTCATATCTTTATTCAGTTGGTTTTGAACGACACCCTACTGTCCAAAACCAACTGAATAGAGATGAATAATCTGCCAAGTGTTTAAAAGGAGTCATGTTATTGTGTCTGAATAAAGCAGGAAAAATTGTTTCAAATGGCAAATGATTCAGACTTTTCAAGTGACCTCCTGGAATGAATTGAATTTGAAGTTTGAGACACCACTGTATTTTCATATTTACATTTAAATCTTATATGTTTAAATTGTTATATATATAATTTTTAGTCAAATTTTTAAATATTTAATATGAAATTTATTATTACATAAATCAAAAAATTAAAAATAGTTTTCTAACAATTATAAATTTCTCAGTGAACACAAAAAATATATTTGCAATTTTTGCGGCAGAATTGTGGCTCATCAAGATTGATCAAAATCTGGATCAATGGGCAATGTTCCACGATCCATTAGATTTGAATGGGCGGTGGACCCAGCAGAAAGGTACTAAACAGAGGGGAAGCTGATTGGTCGACCGCCAGCCCACTGTACCACATATATAGCTCAGTTTAGGCAGGAAAGTTGAGTTTGTTGTGGTCTCGTTAAGAAGAAGTTTTGCTTGCCAAAGGAAAGGAATTATCACCTAGTTTTCTTCACCTTCTGACAAACGAGTATCTTCATTTGGTCATCGACAAGTGATGATTCCTGGAAGTGCCATCTCATCATAAGATGACTTTCATGAACGGACTTTTACGGGATAAGAACATTTGTCAAGCATTGGCACTCTTATTACGGATGTCATTTATACATACATTTTAATTAAATATCAATTTGACTGCAATGAAAACTTGCAAATGTTTTAAAATAATTAATTCTTTTTACCTCTATGTCCTTACTCTTTTAACTTTCTGTCTACTTAAACCTTGATTATTAATAGGACTTATTATACTGGTGTAGTTTCTGATTAGCAAATAGAGATCTTAGTCAAAAGTCAAAACAAAATATCTTTATTTTCACCTGTACACTCTGCTTGTGTTTCAGACCGAAGACCCCCCTCTTCAGTAGGTTTACAACATTAGTTCCTTTATTGTCTAATATTCATACAACACCAATACTGACAAAAAAGTATCCAAAAAAAGCAGAGTGTAACATACCTATCTTAATGTTTCTAAAATATGGTGATCTAGGTTGGTTATTTTTTCTGTTATTTCCTTTTTTCAGAGAAAGAAAATAAGAATTTATCAATAAATATTTATTTTGATAATTTGAAGTCAAATAACAGAGTGAAATCACATAACATTATATTTATTCACTGTACATATTTTAATTTTTAAAGTTATATAAACTAAAATACAGTAGAACCCAATTATCTGAGGCCTGATTAACCAAGGTTCTGTATTATCTGAGACAAGCCTGTAAGTGAATTCACTACTTTTATTACACTGTAATTCATAAAAGAAAATTTAGAATGATAACATGTATTACAAAATAATTTCCTTTTTTATTCTTTAATTTCAATGTGAGATGACAATTTATATTAAAATCTAACTGCAATAATACAGAATTTTAGTCTTAAAAACTATTGTAAATTATGTATTAGATGTATAATAAATGATGTAAAAAATGTTGTTCTTATATGATCAATGGAAGAAAGCAAAGCTGCAAAAAAAGGATGATGTACTTTATAGATGGGCTGAGGAAGAATGTAAAATAGTAGTTTAGAGAAGCAGATAAAAAACTGTCTGAAAAAAAAATAAGACAGTTTTTAATGCCATGATGAATGAAAATGAGTAAGGAAAAGATAGCATAAAATGTAGAAGTGTGCCTTTAATTAAAGAAAAGTGTACATTGGGGTAATAAGAAAGACCTTCAGGGTAAAGTTAATAAAGCATAAAAAGGACATTAAAATGGATAACATAACATTGGCTCTAATAATACAAAAGATATGATAGAATTGTACAAGTTAGGTGGGAAGAGGTGAAGATGAAAAAGAGTTAAAAGAGGGAAAAAATGTTAACTGGGTGAAAAATATCTAAATTTTTGAAAATCTGAAGAAAACAGAAAATCATATCTGTAATTGTGTGATATTTTACCAAATGCAAGAAAATAAATGATGGGGAAAGGAAAGAGGATGTTGAAAATATAGAAGCTGGAGTAGAAATAACGTTGCAATCTCAGGGACATAAGACAAGGTGATTGCTTTATAAAAAATTTGAAAAAAACAGGCAGAAAATTTGTATTTAAACATCTGTGTGTTAAGTGAATATGTTATTTCTGACTTTTTTGTCATTTAAACTAAAAATTTTCTGAAAGTGTAATATTTGATTATTATATAATTTTTTTTAATATTTACTCTTAATGTCATTGATGATGGATTGTGGATTACAGGGCTCCAGGAATAATAAATTTAATTTAAAAAAAAAAAAGAAGTTTAAGATTTAGGGAATAAATTTCAATTTTTACTTTGGTTATTTTGATTTCATCCTGATAAACCTCTCTTAAATGCAGTGAAGAACTCATCACAATCATTTATTAAAAAATTTATTTAATTTCAATCTTTTATTTTGCATTCACATCACTTGGATTACAGCCAATTATTAATTCTCATTTACAACACTTGAACATTATAGCAATTCTTATGTATAACATTAGCCTAGTAAAGTATTTCTAAGCTCTTAATTTTTTTTAATGGCAAAGCACTACTAACATAAATGTTTATACAATACTTTTAAACAAACTTAATTTGAATAAATAAGATGCATAGATTAGACTGATTATACATTGTAGAGTTTACAAAAATGAATCAAATAAATCAATTTGGTAATGATGTCACAAAAATGATTTTGATTTCCATTGTTTGTTTATATAATGGTATTTAAGTATATAAATGTATTTAGGAAAAAGAACAAAAATTTCACAGTTAACATAAGAAAATGTAAAACAAAATCTTGAATCAGTTGCAAATATCAAAAAATAACCTTTACTTCTTTCCAGAAAAATGTTTATTAATCCATTAATAACTGCAACAAATGTTTTTGGCTTTTGATTTATAGGACTATCTCAGATCTACTATCAACTCTAATATAAAAAAAATTCTATTTTGGAAAATTGAATAATTTATGATGCACTCACCAGATTCAAAGTACAGTAATTCTTTAAAATATGCAAATTTTTAAAAATCAGGGTGAAAATGTTTGTCCCATCAATAAACATTTTGCTGGAAAAAAAAGTTATTTTTTGATATTTTCAGTTAACATAAGTTTCTTTTTTAAATGCATGTTAATTAAAAACATGCAATTATATTTTTCACATGTAAATATGTGCAATTACTTGAAATAATAATGTATTATATTTTTTTAGAAAATTGATTGTTGATTAGCAAACCTAATTACCATCAGAAAAATCTAACCTCTAATCAAATAAGACCTTGAAAACTTCATTTTTTATGGTGAAACCGTGTTTTAATTTAATTTGCTTTATTCAGACACAATAACACAATGTTTGATTTTAATGTTTAGTTGGCTGAGGAGGGGCCAATGCCCGAAATGCAACTTGTAACTAGAAAGTCCGTTGTTTCGGTGCACGCTAAAAGTCCAGGCCTGGCA